AATTCTTAGACATAATAGGATATAATCATCCTGAAGTATAGATAGAATACGGATGAATACGGGATGTTCAAACATATTCCAAGTTTCCATATGATCCATTAATCTACCCTCTGGTAAACGTTCACATAACCATGGAACATCACCGTTTTTGATGGGTAAATAAACGAACTAAATGGCCATGTTCAATAGCTATGGGGCTGTTTAGAGGCTAAATCCATATTTTCCAGGCTGTCCAGCTGCAGTCTCCAGTCGAAACTTCCAAGGCCAAACTAATGCAGGAGCTTCGGGACGCAAAGTCCAGGGCAGCTGGGGAATCCCGGGGACCCGGCCATATCGGAGCTTCGGGACTGATCCATGTCCTGCGATAGTCGGATGATGTTGGATGACTTTCCAGCTGTTGGGGGGATGGTATGGATGGTATGGACTCCATATGGATCTGAAAACAGGATCAGAAAACAACGTGCTGGGAATTCAATTGGAATGCAAGGTGCCAGCGTGCCAGGGTACTTACAGCATCGCCCTAGGTTGAGATGCGGGTGGAGCAAATGAGGGACCTGATCAAGTGGCACTGGCATCAGTTTTGCAGGGTACGGGGATGGGTGATGCCTCTTTGCATCCCTTTGTATTGTCATTCAACATTGGGCCAAAACAGCCTCCTGAACATATGAAAATCAAGCGCCCGAAAAACAAGGTAGTAGCTCATGTCCCAACAGCTCACCAAGTTGGCAGCCTGAGTTTTGCCTCACAGCTGGGGCCCTTTTTGGGAGTGAGGTTTTGGAACTGAAGCCGTTCGACGTTTTGTACACATTTGCCACATGCCAAATTTGACCTCCCACTTTGAAGACTTACATTCCATTTTCATCCTATATAGTGCTAAAGTGTCGTTAATGCACTTGCAATTTGAAATGCTCGAGTGGCTGGGGTTGGACAATAGTAGAATGGATAATTTTGACATATTTTGACAATAGGTTGTCATTCCTCATTCCCCCAAATTTTGCCAGAAATGGGTGATACAGACCATCCCTGAGCAATTCTGGAAAGAACCCAAGTGGCCCAAGTGGCCCAAGTGGAAGTTGGGTTTGCCATAGCAGCTATAGCACTCCGATTATGATTGTTTATAGGGTTTGGATGGGCAAGACCACCCACCAAAATGTTTTTTCATGTTTTTCATATGGTTTCACTAGCTAAATATCCTAAAACAAGGAGCAACATGTGAGAAGTAATTGGAAGCTTCTCCCCCCAAAAAAATATGGTTCCACTGGATGGTTTGTGTTTTACATTATTTCACATTATTACTGCATATAACTTTGTATGACTGATTCTAATTGGATGGTTGAGCACTAGGTTTAGGACCACTTGGGTGTCACCGTTGCTGCCAGCGGTCCAAACAACGACCGTTTCCACCGCCGCGCTTAAAGAGCGCGTGGCCGCCGCGGGCAGCGGTTTGGGGGCGAAATGTGCCTGAAGCGTCCCCACTGTGGCTCAGTGAAAGGTTGAAAGGTTGGGAAAATCCATGGGAACCATCATGAACCATCAAATGTGTGCAGACATGATATGGATATTATATATTTATATATATATAGAAAAGGTGCAGGTGACCACTATTTGGGTATAGGACTCTGCTTTTTCCATGTTTTTGGGTGTTGCCAAACAGGGAAACCCACGGATTTCGGGGGAAAGGAGATGGTTTCCAGCTAAGACTTCCCCCGAAACCAATCCATTGATGCATAGTAAGGGTAGTTCTGAATTCTAGCAACGGAAATGGTAAAAAACCAAGCAGATATCTCCTCAGGTCCACACCGGGCTCAGGAAGCGTCTTGGAGAGCCATGAACAAACAGGTCGTGTGGAGCTTAGCTCATGCACCTTCCTTCATTCAGATGGGTACAATGTGCAGAAGCCTCAAAACCAGTGAAACATACCTGGCAGCCTATCTTTTTTCCAAGACCCTTTTTAGGGACCACGGATTTGGTACAGTTGATTCAGTTGATCAATAGACACACGAATTGAGCCCAATTTTGTACGTGGGTCAGTCCAAAAAGATTGATATATATATATATTATATAAATACCAAAAATCCGCTGCTTGATCAATGTTGATACTCTCTGTGCCAAATTTCACAAAGCCCGCTTTTAAGCAGGAGGTTTGCGAATAAGGAATCGGTATAGGGATGCATGTTTTTTCAAAGGCTGAATCCAAGTTTGAGAGATTCATTCTATTTTGATCGATGATGATCGATGCGCACGATTTAGATACATAATGGTACATATGGTTTTCAGAATTTGATGGCTCAGCTTCCAAGCCAGGGCTACATAGAACTTAGAAGATATTCGCTGTGTAATGTTGCATGAAATTCCATCCAATTCCTCCTGTTACAGGCCATTCCTGCTTCAACGTGGATGCAGCGCCGGTGTGGTTTGGAGCCCCTTCTCCCAAGGAAAAGCACTTGGATTGTCTCAGTGCTTGGGTCTTGCAGAAAAGGTGGCAGGCACCACTGATCGGCACCTTGGGAGAAGGGGCTCCAAACCACGCCGGCGCTGCATCCACGTTGAAGCAGGAATGGCCTGTAACAGGAGGAATTGGATGGAATTTCATGCAACATTACACAGCGAATATCTTCTAAGTTCTATGTAGCCCTGGCTTGGAAGCTGAGCCATCAAATTCTGAAAACCATATGTACCATTATGTATCTAAATCGTGCGCATCGATCATCATCGATCAAAATAGAATGAATCTCTCAAACTTGGATTCAGCCTTTGAAAAAACATGCATCCCTATACCGATTCCTTATTCGCAAACCTCCTGCTTAAAAGCGGGCTTTGTGAAATTTGGCAGAGTGAGTATCAACATTGATCAAGCAGCGGATTTTTGGTATTTATAATATATATATATATTTATACATATAGTTGCTTTATTGTTATCATATGCATACGTACATACAGGCATAACATAACATTACATTACATTACACAACATTACATAACATTCCGTAACAGTATATTAGATAACATAACATTGCATTATTGCATTGTATTACATATACATATTTGCAGTTACTTATAAAGAATTATATTCACTCTTTCCCATAGCCATAATTTGTTGTGTTTGTTTGGCATGGATTGATATCATGAGATTTGCTGATGGTGAAACTTGCCGCGATTGAGGTTTCAAAGAAGCTCCCAACCGTTGGTCAAGGTGCAGGGATGTGCAGGGCATGGCCGGTATGGGCTTGACGGTTTGGTGTTGCCATGGGCCGACTGACACAGGAGTAGTACATGGTATGAAAAAAATAAAGTGAATACGCACGTCAAAATATTAAATATATATATATTTATTATTATTTATTTAAATATCATCATTATATCATATATCATATATATATATATATATATGTGTGTACAATATATATATACAATATATATATACACATAATATATATATATACACATACAATATATATATATATATATATACATACAATATATATATACACATACAATATATATATATATATGTATATATATATGTATATATATATAATGTAATATATTGAAAGAATATGTGTATACTACGTTTGTGAGGTTGGACGGGCTGAACTTGACCCACAAGGAATCCTTTCTTCAGTGATTTTAGAAATCCTTGTCCATCTGACGGGTAAGACCCAATTGAATAGACAAATTGAAGTTGCAAATGGCGTACCCACGAAAGTATATATTCCGGATTCTGGCTTAAATCATCTTGAATCCCGCGCGTGAAATTAAACCCAATTTTCATCGATATTCCGGCTACTAATGGTTAGGTCCAGTATGGTCCAATCTTTCGTTTGGATACCCTCAATGAAACATGGAAATCCACCATTTATAGTTTATTTTCCCATGAACATGTGCATTGAATGTGGGTAAAACAAGTTCATAAACCATCCCCCAGTCATGACCATAAAGTTATAGGTGGCATGTTCTGAATACCTGGTGCCGTTGCCATTTTCGCCTGAGCCAAGTGACAGTGACAGAACGATCTTCGGCATCGAAGCAGCCAGGACGGGGACCCTCACCGTGCAGTCACTAGTGGGGTGAGGTCAGGATGACCTCATCACATACCGGTAATAGCTCTGGTAAACTAACATAACTATGGAAAATCAGCATTTTTAATGGGTAAATCCACTATAAATGGGCTATTTTCAATAGCTATGTCAGCTATTACCAGAGGGTACACATTGCCATATAGGAAAGCACTTAGTGTCCATTTCAACTTCATGGTAAATCAACTATTTCTATGGCGATTTTTACCGGAGGCTAATAGCTCGGTGGACATCTGTGGACCCTGGGAACATCACACAACATCCGTGAGGCTACCTCCACATCCAAGTGTGGTGTTTGGGGAAGCCTTGGTTGAGTAGTTTAGCATGTATGTGTTTCTTCCATGGGTGCATGTATATATATATATATATAATATAGTATATATATAATATAGTATATATATATATAATATAGTATATATATATAAATTATAATATAATATACATATATATGTACATATATATAATTTACATATATATATAGTTTACACACACATATATATATATATACACATAATATACATATACATATATATATATATAATATATACACACACATATATATATTATACGTAGAAAGCTGGCTGGGCCGCATTCTAGCCCTCAGGTTGTGCTGAACTCCTTGAGATGGCATGGAAAGAGAGAGAGAGAGAGATGATATACATTTGGATGAATTATAGTGACTTCACTGTGACGTCACTGGTTAGTAAGTGGAATCATCCCCAAATTGCAAGAGAAGTGGTGTGGACTTATTTCAGATATATATATTTCCAGGTGAGCGATAATTTCCTGTAATTTAGCCAGATGCATGCTACCCGGTTTTAGTTATATAATTATATATTTTGCTTGCAAATACCCAAGTAACATCAGAAACGTCTTGGGCCTTGGATTCTGTGGAGCCACAAATTTGCGCGATGCGCCAGGATCATGGCGGGTGCTTGCTACGACGTGTGCTTTGAGGCGGACCCCGCGGCGACCCAGCAGTCCACCCATTGGGTATGGAGGCCCAGTGATTCCAATGGTCTGTTCAGGGTTTATCAACATGTTCCTTATTGAAATAGGTAAAACATTGGGTAGCTGCCCCATCATCCCCATCTTGAAACAACCTGAGGTATTGTTTCACTTTTTTTTGGGGTATCCGGTGATAAAACCACAAGGCATAGAAGGAAAAACATGGATTGTCAATCAAACAACACATCCAAACTCAATTCTGATAGATTTCCTGTTTCAGCTCCGCAGGGTCAAACATCGTGACGTGTTGAGATGTGTTGAGTCCCTGAGTGCTTCACCGTGGGTACCCAACCTTTGGGAGGATCTATACAGGCAAAGTTCAGATGGTAAACCAAATGCCATAAACCTAGCATTTGGGTGTGGTGTCAATACCGCATGTCCATACATGTCCATGTTGGGGAGGAGCAATGTCCATGTTGGGGAGGAGCAGAACATCCACTAACTAATACTAACTATCTACCAAGTCGTTGATTTCCGACTACCTGACGAGCGAATTCTGAGGTCTATGCAGGAGAGGGTCGCGGTGCGTATCAAAGTTCTTTGGTGCTAAAAGGGTTGTGGGATGCATGTGTTGTTTAAATAGCCTGCTTATGCCTGGTTGAACAAGTGTGGTCATAAGATATCATAAATGGGTAAATGGCTGTATTGAGGTTTATTTTGAAAGGAACATGTATTTAGTTGTAGCAGTTGAACATCAAGGCTTTCGCATGGTGTATCTAAGATTACGTACAGACCCAGCGGTTTGCCCGGACTGCAACATTGAGGATTCCCTGTCGTCGAACATGAGAAGAGAAAATACTGCGTATACGCAGTGTTCTGCTTTCGGATTCAGAGTTTCAAGGGTTTTAGGCTTTAGGGTTAGGGTTCCGTCTGGTAAATGCCAAAACACTGGCCCTGCGCAGGTTTTTGAGCATGTCGAAGGATAATAATTAACTCCATTCTAACCTTGCGGGCATACCATAGGGTCTTGCCGTAAGGTAAGCCATGATACATGTTGAAAACTTCTGTCACTTGGAATAGCTTGGAAGCTGGACATGTTCCCCTTGTTTCCGTTCCCCCCGGAGAAGAAGGGCCATCTTCGAGAGTAATGTTTCATTTCAATCGTGATTCACTTTCAGGCTGTACGGCGTGTAGTTCGATATCGTGTGGTATTGTCGTGGAAGGGAAACCCATGGTTGCGCAGTCCTCGCCACAAGAACTCAGGCAACACAGAAATCACCTATGTAGGTGAGGGCCGTGGTGCTTACAACAAGGAAGTGGTGACCAACAACGGTGGCTGGCGTTTGCGCCCCATGTGGTACCTCTGCGGCTGTTTCCTATGTTTCCTTCCTCTCTTTTTCATCACCTTTTGGTTTTGGCCACGGCCTGTGCCCTCCCGGGACGTGCCGGATAAGCCTTTGGTGGATTGCTACACGGGCTACTACAACGGCATGTGGCGTGAGACCTGGGACGTTGACCACGCGGCCTGGTGTTGTGCCGAGATGGGACGCGGCTGCCCAGCGCATGACGAAGTCCCGGTGCCTTGGTGATATGTGGATGGGGAAACCATGGGGAACCACCATTTTTTATGGTAAACTATGGGAAAATCACCATTTTTAATGGTAAACTATGGGATGTCTTACCAATATCATCCAATCTCATCAGATGTACATGATGTTCCTCGCTCTTCATGCGTGATTGTCCAGACCTATGATCACCAAAGGGTACAGTATTTTCTTGAAATTGGATTTGACTCTGACCGGTCATAATTTGCAGAGGACTCACTTGCTGAAAAAGGAGATATTTGTTTGCCATGGTCGGTTGCCAAATGGTTGACACTGTGAACGCAATTTTCTATACAAAAATATGTGCAAATGTATATATATATATATACATGTATGTATATATATATGTAAATTGCAACACAATAGCCTTTTTTAGTTGCCGGCCATCCCGGCCACGGGCCACCCGGCCACCCGGGGCCACCCGGGCCGGCCACCCGGCCACCCGGCCACCCGGCCACCCGGCCACCCGGCCACCCGGCCACCCGGCCACCCGGCCACACCCGGCCACACGGCCACCCGGCCACACGGCCACACGGCCACAATTTATTTCGACAGCCTTTCCCCACATGCCCGAATTCAAACGGCTGTATTGATCCAGCCAAGACAAACATAGCCGAACACATCATGCCGTGTGCTTGGTGCAGTTGAAGCAGCTCTTGCTATGGAGGCGAGTTGACTCAACTACGTGATTGTGTATATGTGCTGATCGCAACATAGCACGTAAGCATCTGACGTAGATAAAATAAGTAGATAGATACGATAGATTAGATAGGTAGATAGATAGATAGGTAGAAAGATAGAAAGATAGATAGATAGAGAGGACAGATAAGATAGATAAGACAGACAGGATAGATAAGATAGAAAAGATAGATAAGATATATATATAGATAAGATAGATAAGATAGATAAGATAGGCAAGATAGGTAAAATAGGGAAGATAGATAGATAGATAGATAGATCGATGGATAGGATAGGATAGGATAGGATAGATAGGTAGATAGATAGATAGATAGACAGACAGATAGATAGATAGATAGAAAGAGATAGCTAGGTAGATAGCTAGATAGATAGATAGCTAGATAGATAGCTAGCTAGATAGCTAGATAGATAAGTAGTTAGATAGCTAGATAGATAGCTAGATAGATAGATAGATAGATAGATAGATAGATAGATAAGATAGATAGAGATAGACAAGATAGATAAGATAGATAAGATAGATAAGATAGATAAGAAGATGATAGATAAGATAGATAAGATAGATAGATAAGATAGATAAGATAGATATGATAGATAGATAGGTAGGTAGGTAGATAGATAGATAGATAGATTGATAGATAGATAAGATAGATAAGATAGATAAGATAGATAAGATATATAGATAAGATAGATAAGATAGACAAGATAGATAAGATAGATAAAGTAGATAGATAGATACGATATACGATGGATACGATAGATAAGATAGATAGATAGATAAGATAGATTAGATAGATTAGATAGAGATAGATAGGTAGAAAAATAGAAAGATAGATAGATAGAGAGGACGATAAGATAGATAAGACAGATAGATAAGATAGAAAAGATAGATGGATGGATAAGGATGGATAGGTAAGATAGGTAAGATAGATAGGATAGGTAAGATAGATCGATAAGATCGATAAGATCGATGAGATAGATAAGATAGATAGATAGATGGATGGATAGGATAGATAGATAGATAGAATAGATTAGATTAGATTAGATTAGATCAGATTAGATAGATGGATAGATGGATAGATGGATAGATTGACGGATAACTAGATAGATAGATGTTTGGATCGATAGGATAGGATGGTAGATAGGGAGAATGGTAGATAGGTAGATAGGTACATAGATGATAGATAGATAGATAGGATGGACGGATAGATGGATAGGTGGATAGTGGGTATAGGTGCGATAGATTAGATAGAGAAGATAGATTGAAAAGATTAGATAGAGAAGATAGATTGAAAAGATTAGAAAGATTATGTAGACTAGATTGACTAGATTGACGGATGGAATAGATAGATTTGATCGGGTAGATAGATGAGATCGGTTTGATAGAGTAGATAGGTTAGATGAGGTAGATTAGATCGACTAGGCGGGTTTGATGGATATAGAGTAGAACAAAATAGAGCAGCATAGAACAGACTAGAATAGAATACGGTTGGATGCATAAGAATGAAATAGGCATAGAAAAAGAGGTAGAAATAGAATCATTTGAAGAATAGAGAAGAAAGATGTCTAGATCGATAAATCAGCTAGACTAGCCAGATTAGCTAGATTAGGTACGCTAGATAGATTAGGTCGATTATATAGAGTATAGGGTGGCTGGATAGATTAGATAGATTAGGTGGAGTAGGTGGGTTAGAAAGATTAGATCGATTAGGCAGGTTAGCTACATGAGGTAGGATTGGTAGTTAGATTGATCAACAGATTAGGACGATTAATCAGATTAGATAGGTGGAAAGCAAGATAGGTAGATAGATTGGTAGACCTGATTGATCGATTGATTGTCAAGTTGGGTTTAGAAAGATCAGCCTAGAAAGATGGACAGATCGATCGATCTATGGATCAATCGATGGATAGATAGATAGCTAGATAGACAGATGGATGGATGGATTGATTATAGATAGATTAGATAGGTTAGATAGATTAGATGGATTAGGTAAAGTAGATCGGTTTGGTAGATTAGATAGATTAGATAGATTGGGTAGAGTAGATTGGCTAGATAGATGGATGAGGTAGGGTAGGTAGATTAGACAAAGTAGATGGGTTAGATCTATTGGATAGACTAGATTGATGTAAAAGGATGGAGAGGTTAGATAGATTAGATAGATTAGATTCAGGGTTTTACTGATTAGATCGATTAGAGCCTAGCGTAAATGGAATAGGCCGTAGGCAAATTAGATTAGATTTGGTTAGATTAGATTAGATTGGTTTAGACTAGTTCAGATTAGATTAGAGTGAAGTAGAGTAGAGTAGATTAGATGGTTAGCAAGATAAATAGATTGGAACGAATAGAGCGAATAGAAAGAATGGACAACTAGATAGATAAATCACAGACTTGCTGATACACTACTTAAGTATGTGCACGCAGACTTGCTGCTACGCTACTGGCTCGTCTGTTGCATGTGCATCTGCTACGCTACTTGCTCTTCTTTTGCTGCGCAGGCTTGCTGCTTTGCTACTGGCCTGCGCGTATAATTAGCACTGATGTGTATGGCTAAATTCCCCGAAATGTACGAAAAGACAAGCTGCTTGGTATGCAAGCGGATGGCAAGATAGATAAGATAGATACGATAGATACGATAGATACGATAGATACGATAGATACGATAGATAAGATAGATAAGGTAGATAAGATAGATTAGATAGGTAGATAGATAGATAGGTAGAAAGATAGAAAGATAGATAGATAGAGAGGACAGATAAGATAGATAAGACAGACAAGATAGATAATAAGATAGATAAGATAGATAAGATAGATAAGATAAGATAGGTAAGATAGGTAAGATAGGTAAGATCGATAAGATCGATAAGATCGATGAGATAGATAAGATAGATAGATAGATAGATGGATGGATGGATGGATAGATAGATAGAAGATAGAATAGATTAGATTAGATTAGATCAGATTAGATAGATGGATAGATGGATAGATGGATAGATGGATAGATAGATAGATAGATAGATTGATAGATTGACGGATAACTAACTAGATAGAAGATAGATGTTTGGATCGATGGACGGATAGATAGATAGATGCGTAGACAGATAGGTAGATAGGGAGAATGGTAGATAGGTAGATAGGTAGATAGATGGATGGATAGATAGATAGATAGTGGATAGACGGATAGATGGATAGGTGGATAGATGGATAGGTGGATAAGTGGGTAGATGGATAGGTGGATAGGTGGAAAGATGGATGGATGGATGGATGGATGGATGGATAGACAGATAGATAGATAGATAGGTGGGTAGGCGGATAGACGGATAGAAACGATTAGAAAGATTATGTAGACTAGATTGACCGGATGGAATAGATAGATTTGATCGGGTAGATAGATGAGATCGATTTGATAGAGTAGATAGGTTAGATGAGGTAGATTAGATCGACTAGGCGGGTTTGATGGATATAGAGTAGAACAAAATAGAGCAGCATAGAACAGACTAGAATAGAATACGGTTGGATGCATAAGAATGAAATAGGCATAGAAAAAGAGGTAGAAATAGAATCATTTGAAGAATAGAGAAGAAAGATGTCTAGATCGATAAATCAGCTAGACTAGCCAGATTAGCTAGATTAGGTACGCTAGATAGATTAGGTCGATTATATAGAGTATAGGGTGGCTGGATAGATTAGATAGATTAGGTGGAGTAGGTGGGTTAGAAAGATTAGATCGATTAGGCAGGTTAGCTACATGAGGTAGGATTGGTAGTTAGATTGATCAACAGATTAGGACGATTAATCAGATTAGATAGGTGGAAAGCAAGATAGGTAGATAGATTGGTAGACCTGATTGATCGATTGATTGTCAAGTTGGGTTTAGAAAGATCAGCCTAGAAAGATGGACAGACCGATCGATCTATGGATCAATCGATGGATAGATAGATAGCTAGATAGACAGATGGATGGATGGATTGATTATAGATAGATTAGATAGGTTAGATAGATTAGATGGATTAGGTAAAGTAGATCGGTTTGGTAGATTAGATAGATTAGATAGATTGGGTAGAGTAGATTGGCTAGATGGATGGGGTAGAGTAGGTAGATTAGACAAAGTAGATGGGCTAGATCTATTGGATAGACTAGATTGATGTAAAAGGATGGAGAGGTTAGATAGATTAGATAGATTAGATTCAGGGTTTTACTGATTAGATCGATTAGAGCCTAGCGTAAATGGAATAGGCCGTAGGCAAATTAGATTAGATTTGGTTAGATTAGATTAGATTGGTTTAGACTAGTTCAGATTAGATTAGAGTGAAGTAGAGTAGAGTAGATTAGATGGTTAGCAAGATAAATAGATTGGAACGAATAGAGCGAATAGAAAGAATGGACAACTAGATAGATAAATCACAGACTTGCTGATACACTACTTAAGTATGTGCACGCAGACTTGCTGCTACGCTACTGGCTCGTCTGTTGCATGTGCATCTGCTACGCTACTTGCTCTTCTTTTGCTGCGCAGGCTTGCTGCTTTGCTAGTGGCCTGCGCGTATAATTAGCACTGATGTGTATGGCTAAATTCCCCGAAATGTACGAAATGTGGATGGCAGACACCCGGCCACCCACCCGGCCACCCGGCCACCCGGCCACCCGGCCACCCGGCCACCCAACCACGCGGCCACCCGGCCACCCGGCCACCCGGCCACCGACGACACACCCGACCACTGGCCACGGCCACCGGCCATCCGGCCAGCCGGCCATCCGGCCATCCGGCCAGCCGGCTATCCCAACCACCCAGCCGGCCACGGCCACGGCCACGGCCACGCACGGAAAAAAGCAATCCTCAAATTGCAAATATGTAAAAACATGTTTAAATATGCATCTATATATATATATATATATTAATGGCAGTTGCGTTTCTGAAGAGAGAAAACACTATATATATGTCCTGGTTTGATCGCGAGTCCCCTTATCACCTAGATCGCTGGAAGGTTTGGGGGGTAACACTTCTGTTAAAAGCTGCATCAAAACCAGCAAGATAAAACAAGCATCTTCTAATATCTTCTAATCCCTTCCTCCTAATACTAACACCCCCCCAATACAAAACACGGCAAGTAGTTTTTAGTATTAGGGGGGTATTTATTATTAGGGAACCAAAATATTGCCAAAAATGGCAGTTCGAAGCTTACCCCTAATACTAAATTAAAACCCTTAATAATAAAAACCATTTTTTCCGATCTCAAAATCAATTAAATTTCCTTATATAACGCAATTAAAATATTGCCAAAAATGGCAGTTCGAAGCTTACCCCTAATACTAAATTAAAACCCTTAATAATAAAAACTATTTTTTCCGATCTCAAAATCAATTAAATTTCCTTATATAACGCAATTAAAATATTGCCAAAAATGGCAGTTCGAAGCTTACCCCTAATTGCTAGCAGTAGCGAAGCTTACCCCTAATACTGGCAGCTTGGAGTGCAGGGATTGGGACTAGGCCCTAGGCCCCCCTAATACTAAACACCCCGGGGTGAACTAGTTTTTAGTATTAGGGGGGAGAACCCACAAATGGTAGGTTGATTTTTAAATTGTTTTTTAAAGGGGATCAATTAAAAGTCAAATTGGCCAAACTGAAATTTTCGGAAATTGGAGATGGATGCCTGTTTTTAGTATTAGGGGGACGTTTAGTATTAGGAGGAAGGGATTAACCAGCAAAATTAGAAAAATGCAGAAAAGGTTCAATTGACTACGAAATCTATGGTTCAATTTCACATGATATTAAGATATTTTCTTCCACAAGGAATATTTAAAAAAGAAAACCTCCCCAAAAATAAAAACGTATAGTTGTATATTGCCGGAAGGCTGAACTCTGGGAGAGGGTGATGGAGAGACAGAGAGAGAGAGATAAATATATAAATAAATATATATATATAGTGGGTGTGTATGTATGTGTATATATATATATACAATAATTACCAGATATTACCATTTGTTTAGTCCAAATTTCTATCATTTTGGGGTGGTATTCACTCCCAAAAAATCGATGGATTTTCATGGCCAGTCTCAGACGAGGTCCCGGTGCCTGCTCCTCGTCCTCAGTTCCACTACAATTGCAATGCCGGATTCTCCAACTGGTCCTTTGCCAAGCCATTCATGGTAACCTCTGGTAATCAAACGTGGCTGGGAATCCCTAAACTAAATGGAGGTTTTACTGTAATGGGAAAATCATCTACTGCCATGTTTGATTACCGGAGGGTAAAACGGTCGTAAATGGAGGTAAGAAATCGGATAGATGACCCCAGGACTGACCGGTACTGTTATAACATATCATTGATGATCTATAATTCATAAACCGGATTATACAACCAAGTGTGGGTACTTTCATGATGCCCGCCTCCTAATTTCTAATTGTTTCTAAATAATACATTAACTACTGGAATCACTTAGTACTCAAATAATCGGGTGGTGAATGGAGGCCGCTAGGGAAGCATGGGTATCTACTATACATATATTATCATATATTACCTATGAAATGACGAACCAATGAGCTACTAAGAGTTTGCAGCCACATGATAGTAAATCTTTGGCAATTGTTCTTGGAATATATACAAGCCAGCCCAGCAAATAAAGTACAACGGATCTAAGATTGACCATGTTTGTAACGAGCTATTGGGCGAATAGCCTTTATAGCCATTGAAGGAATATTCAATGTGAATTTCAGGATCCTAAAATTGATAATTAGTGTACCACACAAACCCATATTTTGTGGGAGATATCCCCTTAGCCCTTGATTTTTTCATGATTCAGCTGCCATGATTTTTGGACCATCCCATGAACCAGTGAAGCAACCATAGAAAGGGCTCATTTGGCCCAGTCATGCAGCTATAGGCATGACATCCAATGTCATAAGCCTCAAACTTGGGGCTTGGGGACGGTTTATGGCATTGGCTTTGCCACATCCCCTTCGGATCCAGTATTTATCCCATATAAAAATTCCATGATTATCCCATGATGGGGCAAACAAAATGCCATGTTTATCATGGGATTTTTACATGGGATTATCCAGAAGGCTACCCATATTTATCCGTTTTTATCCCATGATTCATTGGATTGGTTTAAGGGAAAATCTTAACCGGAAACCATCAATTTTCCCATTAAGATCATGGTGTTTTCCTGTAAAATTTCCCTTAAACCAATCCATTGAATGATGATCTCATTACTATCCAATAGGTATCCCATGTTTATCCCATGATCCCATTGTGGATCCCACGATTCTCCGGGCTGGGCGCCGGGCCTGCCGGGCCCGGGTGCCGGATGCTGCAGGTACTGGGGCTGGTCCAACCACAAGAAGGGCTGGTGCTGCAGCGGCCTGGTGACAGATTCCAGATTCTGCTGGCTATGATCACATTTCATGTATATATATAATTATATATATAACTATTATATAACAATATTGATAAATATTGATTTGTTAATCATGTTCTACTCCATCTCGGATGCTGATCTCAATTGACATGGATATTCTGGAATGAACGGCCCCAGCAATGCACCAAAGCCTTGTTGCAGGCAACGGTCAACCCGGGGGATTTTTCTTTAAACAAAGCGACTATTAGTTTAGTTGGGCAAACGGGTAAACATATCAAAACATATTGATAAGTGACTATGAGAATTTATCCCTCCATACCCCTAAACCCTATTAATAAACTGAGAGTTTGTTAATCCTGTGTCAAACATTAAGCAGGATGAAGCATTTCTCCAGCCCAATGAAATACTTGGACGGGTTTGGACTAATAGGTTTGGTGACTGGAAACAAGGAAGACACTTTGCAGCATGGATGAGCACAACCCAGCAAACATGCGATTGATTGATACAGTAATTCATCAACAGCACAGTTCAAACTGATTCAAAGTGCTACTACAGACATTATATATAATTATAAATCATTCCATATCATTGTTATATATTATCTATTGGCTATAGAATTGAAAGCCTGAATTCTTTCCATCCCTGGTATGTTGCTGTTGCCAGCACGCACCCCGCACGAGGTCACGTTCGCAAGGGATGCCCAGGCACCTGGCATGGAAGCTACCACTTTCACGTTTCTTGGTGAAATGGTTACGTCTCATTGGCTTGGTGTGGTCTGAGCTTAGAAACGCTTAGAGTCAGAATGTGATATGTTTTGTTGTGTTGGTTTGTGTTCGTATGTTTGCCTTTGCATCTTGGCTTGCTGACTTTCCAAGATTTGTCCTTCTTGTGTTTCCCTGAGCTTTGCTCCACTCGAGAGGCCCACATGGTTCATGGCGTGGGTCATGCGCATGGAAAGATGCTTGGACCGGAGAATCATAAACCAGCGGGGTCACTGTGTTGCCACCTTGTTCCAAGTGTGCTTCCGCCGCCAGCATTTTCGGGCCCCTGAATCGTTTTCCTTGGTTGCAGCAGCCACCAGTCGTACTTGGTTTGCTGCGGGTGACCAAAGGACATTTTTTCAGTCATTGTGGATCATTGTGGCAAACATTTTAGTGATGGCCCAACCATCAACCAGCTTACCATATCGGTAAACCCAATGACAAAAACCCTCAGTTGAAGTTTGCTATATAGACGAGTTATTTACCCCTATCACTGGGAGGATGTAAAATGACCCCGAATTAAATGGTTGATTACATCATATTACATCTTCCCTGTTCCAGGGGTAACCATTGAAGGTAAACCCTAAAACATTCGATTAAACATGATTAAACCATATTAAACCCCTAAATGGATCTAAATGGTAAACCATGGTAACCCCCAAAGCCTCTGTGGTGTTTTATTCTTGAACCTTACAGTAACCACTAAACACCGCTGGCCCCGGCCCAAATTCAGGATCTACGACTGCGTCGCAGGCTTCTCCAACTGGATGCAGGGATGGTCTGACTCCAAGAAGGTCGGGTTTGGGAGACACAGCCGGCACTGGAAAGACAGTGCCACATCCAGGTCGATTTTTGATGTTTTCTGATGTCTTGTTTTTACTACTTTAATTTGATATGTATACATGATATTACATGATTATTTGTTTAATCTGCGATGATTTTTCATAGTATCATAGTAAAGGGTAGTGTCAGTAAGTGGGGAATCAAGCATTATACCTCGGTTCTGGAACACCCTCACTAAGATTTATTGGCTTCTCTCTACGGGTTATGAAAAACTCACGTTTTACGACTCCTGGGTGCAGCACATCCAAGTAGCTTTTTGTGACCAAAAAAACACATTGATATGTTCCCCCCAGCCAACATAGACCCTGCCCATCCCGGTGGGTTGAAAGATGACTTTCTAAAGATTGTCCATTCTCGGGGTTTTCGAGCCGGGACATGGTCATGATGGACATCCCCCGCCTTTAATGGTTCAATTTGTTTATCCCATGGGATCCCATTTGATGGTTAAATACCATAGTATGTTCCATCATTTTCCGATATCTTTCCCGGAACAGTAGGTTTATATAGGTTTATCATGTTTCATGATCTGAATCTTTCCTTTTGTTTTCTTTTAAACATATGGCTATATTTAAAAAAAAACATGGTTTTTGGAAATGGTATCACCATTATATCATATCCCATTATAACATGGGGGTCTAAATGGTGAAAAAAACCTTTTATTTTGGCATCTTCCCAGAATTGGAAGGGAAATTCAGGGGCTTCCCCCATGTTTCATGGTCAATTTTTTCCATTTCGTGGTGGGATTTTCCTCCAGGACTGGTGCTGCAAACGCGAAAACCGCGGCTGCGTGAAGTTCCACTGCTCCGGCGAAGCCTCGGCGTGGCACAGCTGGGGGGACAGACAGCGAGAGTACTGCTGCGACAATTTCCAGAAGGGCTGCCCAAGGATGGCCTTGCGGATGTTCCCAATGTGGAGAGGTGGGATCTTACTATGTGCTAAGCATTGCTAAGAAAAATCGCCGATTTGTCCGATGAGTTACTGAATAATATTATAATATGTTTAAGAATGGTGATTTTTTCTATAGCTATGTGGCTATGTGAAATGGCCAGAGGGCAACCGCAAGAAAATGGTTTAGTTTTAAGCACGAAACAATTGGATTTAATCATGCATATAGGTTTTCACCAATGAATTATGGACTTAATATGGTTTATTAGATTTGGTTCAAGGCAAAAACTAGACCGGCAATCATTGATGGATTCTTCCCATCCAATGTGGACGTCCTGTCGGTTTTTCTTCATATAAAACAATCCAAGGATTAATGGCGGTGGCGGTTGTTAGTGGCAGGTTGCCACACTGATGAAGCGATTTGTTGGAGGTTGAAATCCCTTTGTTTGATGGCTCCGATTATCTCGAAGCTGGGATGGTTTTATTTTGATGTTATGACGTGCATGCATGAGACCGTTTGGTAAATACACTCTTGAATTAGACGTCATAGCAGTAAGCAGTGCTGGTTGGAATGATTGTTCTTTATCCCAACCCCGTGAAGGTTAACCCCATTTGACCCACAACCACCGACCAAAGTATAACAGCCCACAAAAATAGAAAAGTCAAATCCAAAGTCTAAAATGGTAAGGTATGGTAAAGTGAACCTTTTCTATCCTCTTTCTGGAGCTACTTGATGTATTTTTTGGTCATGCCGCAGGACCACCCTTTCTCCAATGAAGTGTGATGCCACCTGCACCGTGGGTGGCGAAACCTCCAAATGCTCCGATACTCGGCGTCTCATGGGGTGGAAACCACGGTCGAGAACCCATCATAGATTGGAGGATATGGTTTCAACATGTTTCAACCATCACAACTTACCCTCTGGTAATTTGTTACATAGCTATTGAAAATGGCTATTTATACTGGATTTACCCATTGAAAATGGTGATTCTCGATAGTTATGTTAGTTTACCAGAGGGTATCATAACTTGAGGATTGCTTAAAACATGGAACGTCTTTCCTAAAGTGCCATGCTGGGGCGCAAGAGATCATCCAACTTACCGCTATTTTTTGACAAGGGGAAGCCAGTTCAGGACCTCCATGATCGATATGAGATACTGTGGTTGCGAAATTCTGCACTAGGCAGGGTATATATATATAACTATTGGGATTCCTATGAAACACTGTAAGTCATGGGAATTTATTGGGATAAACCATGATGAACCATCTATAGTCTATACCCATCTACCATCCATCTACCAACTGGTGCAGGATTTCCATCCAAAGATTTGAGATGGGACTTCCAGATGACAAAGGCTCCAAAACTAAACCAACGGCAAGTTGTTTCCCAAAGGCATAGAGGTGCAACCCTGTGCAACCCGGGGACATGGGATACATCGAATTTTCCTATGGATTTTTTCGGGATGTTTTGGTCATCAGGATCGAATCCATTGGGTGGCCAACAATGTCTTCGGCGCCAAGAGCAACAAGTGCGCCCTGGCCTACAGCAAGGTGCAGGTGGATTGCGACATTTGCCGCGCCTGCACCATCGAGGAGCGCGGACGGGGAGTAGCCGGGAGTGGCCCTTGGGGACCGGAGAATGTTGGCGTGCCAGGGGAACCAAAAAGGTTGGGGAGACCTGCAATGGATTTGAATTCTTACAATCATTATGATATATTATGATGCGCAGGGAAATCTAGAGGAAACAATGGTCTTTTCGATTGAAGATGGGGGTTTCCTGTCTAAACCAACCCGAAAAGACATGTACACACCAGGCCCCAGGAAATTCCAGAGGAAACCACTGGTTGATGTCACTTCATCTCATGGCCTGGCTATGCCAAGACTTGACTGTCACCATCCATGTCCTTCAAGAAAAGAAATATATTGCTTGCATCTGCAATGTGCATATGCAGACCGTATATATATATAATATACATGTATATATATGTATATATATATATATATATGCATGTAACATCTACAATTTACAATATTATTTATATAATTACCCTGCTCAAAAATGTCAGGCCGCTGGCTGCGAAGTCCACGCCAAGGGCCGTGATCCCTTTGACTGCAATGCTGCGCTCAGCAACTTCTTCCGTGCCTAGGCCAAAACTCACTCATGGTTTCAGGGCCAAAGATGGGGATTTCTATGTGGATTGCGAGGGGATTATTTCAAAGGATTTTGTGGGATTAGAGTGATTTTATGCGGATTTTACGGCCGATTTTATGGATTTTAAGGGAATTTTATTTTTATGGGATTTTATTGGGATTGGATTTCCATAATAAATAAGTTAGGGTGAATAAATATCATTTTCTAAAGTTCCTCTTAAAGGCGTTTTTTTCCCTCTCTCTCTCTCTCTCCATGGCATCCCTACAAATGATTGATCGGATTTGGGATAATTTTAAACTGGTGCAAATCCCTCATGCAATCACCACGCATAGATTAAAATCCCATGAAATTCCATAATTAAAATCCTATAAAAAACAATGGAATCCCATTAAAATGAAAGTATCGGGGATTTAATGGGGTTCACAGATGTCCCTTTTCCATTGGTTGGTTGAGTTATACAGGGGCTTCCACCCAAAAAAAACTTTAACCAGCAGTTCAATGATGATAAACAGTATGCCAGACCGGCCAATCTAATTATTTTCCCAAAAAAGGACATTGTTGCAATGCCCTGAAAAATCCACGAGCTGCATAGGTGTTACGTGTTTGGCACCCTTGGGTTTAAAGAATATACAAGTTACAAGATCAGGGTTTATAAACACCTCATTTACAGTATGGCGGGCAATTTGATTTGGCATGGGTGATCCTGAAAAAATCAAAGTCGTTGGTTCAGAATTGACGGAGGAATCAATTGCATTGTTTTATCACAATCCAAATCTGTCAAATGATGTCCCATGTAGGAGGGGTCATTACTCTTACAGTTACCATTTGGCTCATTTCCTTGATATTCCGAGAGGAGTTGGCAACCCATCAGCATGCCATCTACAAATCAAAGGGGAACTTTCTCTCAGGGCTTCGCTGATCACACTAACCCATCATCCATCCATCCATCCATCCATCCATACATTTCACAGTTCAATATAGTATAGTGTGTATATATATATATATAGACATATGGATATACATATGATTGTAAATGTATATGTGCATCAAGTATCTTCATATAATAGATATATATTATATCTATTATGGAGATGACATAACATTACATGTCCCCCATTCAATATGGGATAACCCCCAGTGTTGCAGCCGCAACGGGTCTTAGGAGCCTGGTCTCCTTCGAAGAAGCACTGGTGCTGCACCAAGCAACTCGCCGATTTTTTGGGCTCCTTTTAGTCGCAAAATGCATGGCATTCTGCGGCTTTTTGCGGCGCTGAAGGATGAAATGCTCCAGCAACGTCATATTTTTATATATTTTTAACAATATAGAGATGTCCATGTGAATTTTCAATCCAGACTTCCAGGAAGTTGAAATGGACACTAAGTGGTTTCCTATAGGGTTACTCCATGTTACCCTCTGGTAAACAGCCACATAGCTATTGAAAATGGTGATTAATAGTGGATTTACCCATTAAAAAATAGTGATTTTCCATAGCTATGTAAAGGTTTACCAGAGGGTATATCCTTAGTAGATTAACTTATTCCCTGGATATTGCCAATTTTAGCAACTAAAAAAATCCAACCCCATTTGGCAGGGGTCTATCTTAATTTACCAGAGGGTTATTCCATGATATTCCATGTTACCCCCCAAATCAGCTGTTGGATCCCCCCATTTTAGAAGCCACCGAGGCAAGGCAAAGGTTGCGAAGGCTCACAGCCACCGAGCGTTGATGCTGGCGCCGGGATGGCAGCTCACAACGAAGATGGCACATGGGAGACCATATGGAAACCATATGTGAAGTCCATAGGGAACCAATATTTATGATTATTTTTGGTATCTTATGGCCAAATTTCATGTTATAATCATCTTCTATATGCCGCCTTTTTCTTCAATCCTAAGTTTTGTGGGGCATAGAGCTGTGTAAAACATTGAAACACAGGGTGTGAGAGAGCTGTTATAGCTCGTTGTTTTCCAGAGGTGCTGGATGACTAGATGACTGGGATGAACCCCGGAGCTAGCATCTGAATGGTTGGTTCAGTGGCTTCAAACCATGTCGCCATTCTCCCGGTCCCATTTCCGTGTGCCATTCTACCATAGTTGAAACAGCCCCTCAAGGGCGCCATTGAAACAGGCTGATGCAATCTGATGTACAGGGTTCTCCCAGGGGTATTTTCCTGGATTTGCCAAAGATAATGAGATAATCCTTTAGTATGTTCTTATTGCATCTCTTATTGCTGTAGTAGTCACTTGGCTAAATCATCGTTTATCCGATTAATCCGATATTAATCCAATCCTATATATATATGTGTGTGTGTGATTCGGTTTTCCTGTTGTAACATGCCAGGCCGCTACTGATTAAGTCACACTCTGGGAATCGCATAAGCCCAACCCAAAGCACCACTCAATCATTTGTTTAAGGGATTGCCAGATTAACGGAACTTATTTCCCATTCAATTCATTGACAATGGACAACCCCCACGTAATATCCCATGAAATGGTTCCTTATTTTTCCAAGTCCCAGATATGTCCCACAATGTCCCACATATTTCCCAGTTGTTTCCAGAGGTAATGCCCACCCAAGGGGATTTTCTCCGATTCAACGCTGAGGTCTGGAAACATGTGAAGGTGAACGGCTATTGGACCTGGCAGGCTGTGCATGGCCACGGCTACGTGAGCGCTCCCTACGATTGCCATGCAGGCACCGACCCAATTCTGGATTTGTGGAATGGAAATGATAATCATTTGATATCAGTGAGGAATACTGAAACGTCTTGCAATTAATTCGAACTATATAATGATTTAGACAATTACTGGCTTTGGGTTTGTCTAAGCCCAATTTCGGACCATGTCAGATCAATCAGCGGAGTCTACCGTGCAGTTTTCCTCAGACTCTTGTGCTGATGGCATGACCATCCCATGACCCCAGGCTTGGAGAATCGGCACATTGGTTGGTCTGTCGGCAAGAACCTTGGGACCGAATATCGCTGGGATATGCTGGGTCTGAAGCAGCCGGGATGATAAATCCCTTCGGCGGAATCTTCAATACCCCCCAAACAAAACACCCGTTCACTATTATTGTGTTCTTTTTGGGGGGAAGGGGCCATATCCATATATATAATTATATATATATATATCCCCGATGGCATTCAAACATGGTACTAGAAAATAGATCATTTTCCCCGTAAAGTTTCCCCGTAAAGTATATGCCCATCCATATTGAGATGTCCTAGCAGCAATTTTTGATGATACCAGAGGGTAAGCAACACTATAGAGGGATGATCCTAAAATTATCCTACCCTCTGGTAATTTAACATAGCTATTGAAAATGACCATTTGTAGTGGATTTTCCCATTAAAAATTGTGATTACCAGAGGGTAACATCTCCTATTCCTTGGTTCCCACGCAAGGAAGTCCTGGTGCTGCTCCCACGAGCAATTGGGTTGCCATGCCGGTGACGCTGGTGGCGCTGGTGGCGCGGCACATGGCGAGTTCCATGTGGTGCACGATGGTGGTGCTTACCACCACGGAGGTGCTCTCCACCACGGAGGCGGCATTGGGGCAATTTCTAGTGATTCTAGTGAAAGTATGGGAAAGTAGCAGGTTTGTTTAGTGGCGGCCACGCTGACGCTGCTTTCAGGTGATGCTGATGCTGATGATGGCGATGATGTCGATGATGATCAGTATTTTCTGTTGTTGTTGGGCGATGGTTCAGACTGAAAAAAGGTGCAAGAATTGGTGACATTGGGGTGATATGATATATATATATATATTATAATATATATATATATATATATATTATATAATGATATAGCTGCTAATACAGCTGCCATTAGGTGACAAAAAATGGAGATGTTTGACTAACGAAGGACAGGAGAGATACAGTCAGTATAGAGTTATAATGCTGCAGGTTCCTACGAAACGCATCATGTGGTCCATCATGTCGTCCACCACTACGACTGAAGCAGGAAAGGCTGCAGGAAGGGTCAGGATGGGTCAGAGGGAGTGTTTTGTGGTGTCGCCCATCTTCAACCGTTAATTTCAAGAGGGCCATGTCCCAACATGGATTAGCGATAATTTCAACCGTTTTCCAGGGAAAATCATCATGTTTCATAGGGCCACAGGGATTCATCGAACTAAAAAGGCCATCTATATCCATTTATATAGTAGCTGTCAAATTACCAGGGTATCTTCCATATCTTTCCATGGGTGAACAGGTGGTCCACTCATGTCCACTGGTTCCTTGTGGTGCCCATTTCATGGCTTGCGCCATGGCCGACCCAGGACTCGCCGTTGCGCCACCAGCCAAGCTGGGGCCATCCGTCGCACGTGACGCAGACTCCCCGTTTTTCGCTGGCGCCCAGGCCTCGAGCGCGGGCATAGAAGCCCTGGTGTATACTTCAAACGAAAGATTCTCCAAGAATCAGGGTGAGCAAAACCCAGATTTTTAATGTGTGCCAATGCGTCTTAGTAGTTCTTAATAGTCAAATATTTTGGCCGGCTTAGCCACGTGAGGAACATAGTGAGTGGCTTCCTTGCTGAAGCTTTGTTTGCAATTGTATGTGTTGACATGTCATTTGTGTATATATTCTGTATGTGTATATATATATATAATTATATACAAATAGACAGACATGCAGTGTCACACCCATCCACATACATGTCCAATGCACATGCCTTTTCAATACACCTCCATATATTCATGCACATTATATAAGTATGCATGTACATACACAATTCCATATGTATATATTGTAGATATTGATAATGTCGTGCAAGTATGTGTATATAATATATATATATATATTTAAATAGATATGTGTATATGTGATTATATGTGCATTCACCCTTTGGGAAAAGCACATCTATATAGTTAAATGTCAACGCTACATATGTATAGATTTAGACCTTTGTGATGATAGACACAGGAATGGGCTCCTATCAGATGCTGCCACTGTGCCAAGAGTTTTTTTTCTGAGCCCGGATGGCCGGAGGGCAGCGGCCTGACCATTCTCCGAAATTCATCAAACATATATATATATTATTATTATTATTACTAGTATTATTATTATTATTATATATATTATATATATATATACATTTGAAACCATATAAAAATGTCGGTAGCTACTTATTTTATCATAATGTATGCTGGCATTTTGTTGGTCATCAAACCATATATTATATGAAGCGAACAATTGGTGTGACAGGGGCTTGCTCGTCGTCTGAGGGGCCGAACTGGGCCAGTTTGAGGCTGCGCTGTCACAATGTACTGTGTTTTTCGGCTGTCCTTTTCGCTGGCCCCTGGAGATCTTCCCAAGACTTCTCGGGGATAGACATAAGAAGTAACTAACGGTAACTAACGTCCCCCGTGTACCAAAGGTTACAGATTTTGTTGAGTTTCACCTGTTGGGAAAATGCTTTGGAAAACACAATCTCTTCCGGTGAGAAATGGTGCGGAAATGTGCGGAAAGCTTCACATACACATGCTACATACAGGACGGTACACTACGGTATACAGGACGGTACAGGACAGCAGCAGACCCGTACATCTGTGGAGCTACCGTGATGAGATTGACAAAACGTCTATTTGGTATTTGGTATGTAACACAATGCAGGTAGTTGACTCAGCTGTTTGTGGGCACTTTAAAGTGCTTGGCACTTTGTTGCAGCATCAAGAGGTGTAGCCGTGGGAAAGATTACCAAGCCATATGCTTCTTAGTGCAAACGTTGGTGGGGTTCATAGAATTGGATGATGGGAAAATTTACAGGAAACCCCTATATTTGATGGTAAAAACCATGGTTTCCTGTAGATTTTCCCTTAAACCAATCCATTGATGGGGTACGCAGATGAATAAGTTCGACTGTAGCCATTGGAGCTGAACCAGTACCCATCAATAGGATGATGAATGCGACATAGGCCGATGACGGCCGATGAAGAACTCCCGGGCCAGCACAGCACTGTCGGCTTGGTGCAATGTCGCCCCAATATGTTTTTGTGGTCGGGACTGGTGGCAGAGATTCAAGTCAAGCATGAGATTGGTTGGCTATTAGTCAAGATCACTTAAGAATACTTAAGATATCTTAAAGGTAGGTATTTTATCATGCAGTTGTCTTCTTAAAGCCGACAGGAAGAAGTCACAGGTAGACAAAGCATGGATGAATCAAAGATATCCCAGACAAATTGCTTCCGAAATAGCTGGTGCTGATGAAATGATTGCAGCTTCGGGTACAGAATAACATCCCATTTGAAAAGGGTAGACATGTTTGTGGTCACCTTGTTGCCACCTCCTCACCACAGCGCGGCAGACCCAACTGTTCAACAGCGGGTCATGCGATTTAAGCGGGGTGCCTTTGTGGCTCAACGAAAGTATTGTTTGCAGCGGAGGCTGTGCAGACTGGATAGGATTGGGGCTCATCATGGTCCTGCCACGATTTGTTTCTAAGTATCGTGCCACTTCATGGAAAAGTATACATATACATATATATATGGTTCCGTGTCGGCCAGCCCCCCAATGGGGATGGGTGTTCAGTTTTGCTTCTTGTGGTTCCCCCCTGTGGCCTGTGGTGGTGGGGTGTTTGGGATGTTGATGATGTGTGGTATGTATATATGGTATGGTTTGGTATGGTATGTAATGGAATGGAATGGAATGGAATGTATGGATGGAGGTAGGTAGGTATATATATGTATGTATGCATGCATTCATGTATGTAATGTGTGTATGTGTGTTTGTGGGTATGTGTATGAAATGTTTGTATGTTTGTCTGTGTATGGTGTATGTATGTATGTATGTATGTTTGTATGTATGTATGTATGTATGTCTGTATGTCCCCCCCTGTTGCGTGGTGGGGGTGTGGTACTGTCGGGGGGGGGTGGCAACGCTGGACCATAATATATATATACATAATATATAATTAAACATGTATATATCTACATATATGTACACATGTGTACATATATATATATATATATATGCATATACATACATATGTGGATCTATATACGTATATATATATATATATATATATGTAGAGAAAAGGAAGTAGATACATAGCACATGTATATATGACTATAGGTAGCACGTAGGTACTTTGAGGGAGTATGTGTGCTACGTAGGTTGTCTAAAAGGTAGCATGTACCTAGTAATTAAATGCGAGGCTGGTAGTCAGAAATGCTGCAAAGACCTAGCAAATACGAAACTGGACACAAAAAAAAACAAAAAAGAAGAAAAAACTGGACACAGAAATGTTGCCAATAGCTTGCAAATACAAGGGAAGGTGGTGCTACCTGGGGACCCATCCCATGTGGGCGGGTGGGAACACGGGACACGGGACCATATACACATTTATATATATATATATATTTTATAATACTTGAATATACTTATTTCTGTTTTGGTGGGGTCATCCAAATATCCACAAACCTTCAGCAGTGTGATGAGAGTGTAATCAACACCTCCCGAGAAACCCTGCTGTAGTAATTACATTTTTGAATTTGTTTATTCTGGTGGTCCATTACTTTTTTGGTTTGTGATGGTTTGTCCAAAAAAGTACCCCCAAATACCCCCAAATAACTCATGGGCAATCATCATGTTTCCCGGTAAAATGCCATCTATGCCGATGGCAATTTTCCCATGAAAAAAACCCAAATGTGGAGGCTATTTCCCAATTATCCATGTTGAATGACATCGGAGTAAAATTTTGGGAGCCCCTTCCATGATTGTCCACCCTATGGCCTGCTCCTAAAGCGACTTAAGAACCGATTCAGACACTCCCTGCGTGTCACAACGCCGTCAACGCCGCTGTCGGCCGAGCGCTTTTTTGGTCGGTGGGAGGAGACCTGGCGGCTTTTGGGTCACCAGGTTGCCGATCATCATGGGATAATACTTAAAGATCTTAAATAATCTTAAAGATATAGTTACCATATATTGTAAATATAATGTTTACATATGTTTACTAATACTATTATACAACCAACTTGATATGATATGAAATTGAGATCTTCAAGGGAATTTAGCTGGCAAACATGCTGGCACAATAATGGTTTATGGGGAAGTGTTTGTTGACATCAGGTGGGTTGCTGCTAGGGTGGCAAGCGGCAAACTAGTTGAGACAGTAAACCCAATGATAAACTAGTAACTAGACTCTAGACCCAATTTTACCAGACATGGATTGTGAAATTGATTTTTTTTATTAGGTTTGCAACATTAGATGTAGGAAGTAAGGAAGTGTAGATGGATGAAAAAGGTTATAAACCATTCATGTCCCGAAGGATGCCTTTGGACTAATGAGGTCCCCGCAAACGTAAATCACCTGGGGACATTGTAGTTCTCAGGAATGCCTGAAGGGAACATTTAGAGGAGACCTCTACGTTTGTCCAGCAGGAGGGGGAAAATGGGGGAAACACATTTCCCGAAGATTTTCCCATGGATTGTGATCCGTGAAAATCTGATCAGTGCAGCACTTCCCATTGTTCACTCGTCATGACCGTCATGTCCGACCATTTGCGTTTCGTCCGATTTGACAGCCGGTGCTGATCTATCCTTGCCCAGGGCAAGGTGTAGGAGGTAACAACGATCAATGAAAAAATGAGTGCAGCATGGGACGGTGCTGATTCCCGGAACATGGGATGGGGGGAATCCATGGCATGGGAATCCCAAAAAAGGCAGAATTGTTCGATGATCAACCATGCATGAGATCTTATGAGATTTTGAAGTCTAGATTCCGAGACAGCACCTAATATCGAAACTTTGATGAAATTTGGTGGTGTTCCATTGACATTGGAGATGAATGTTGGGATTGGTGCTGATCATTCAGGAAGGACTTGGAATGCAGAATGATGCAGATTCACTGGCGTTGGCAAGAAACTAGCTAGCTATCAGCTGCTTTGTTCAAATGATTCCGCGGAGTTCATATTGTCAGATAAATGAATGTTCCTTTTTTGGGAGGTCGTTGACCCAAAAAGGCACACAAACTTCTGTTGTGATGTTGTGGTTGTGGTGATTGTTGTTGCCCACTTATGGCCATTGATGGTGACATCTTATCATAATTTGCCACGCCCCTCGGGATGAAAATCCCACCAACTGCATTCACATAGACCTATATACAATTCTACATAGACCCCGATGCTTGCCACTTGTTTTTAGAGGAATTTAGTTTTCCAACTTTCGGCAGGGTCGTCATGTTAGTTGGGGGTATGGTGTATCTATAGTATCTATGTGATTTACCCGATATCCCGTTTGCATCCCGTATGGAGGTTTCCATACATGGATATAAATGGTAGTACCCTCCAAATCATCCAAGTCCAAGTCGTTAGACTCTTTTGGCATCCCCCATTTTAAGGCACAATAAGACGCCCACAGGGATTGATATTTCAACACCCCTATGGCTAAACCACCAGCCAGTCATACATTTCTACTATAGTTTCTACTGCAAATCCCAGTGGCCTCCTGCAAGGCCAAGCTCCTGTTGGCACGGGTACAGGTCGTGCCGGCTCGAAACCCACCTCTGCTGCTCGACTTCTTTGGGAAGGGAGGGTGTTTATAGATCCTGAGATAATCAGCGGAAGCCTGAGCTTTCCAATATGACTGGCAGATCTAATCCCACCTCCATGATATACTCTCATATACTCTCCATGTAAGGGCCCAAAAAAACATTTTACCATGGTTTCCAGGGGGGATACCCTGTGGTAACCTAACATTAGCCACAACATCACCATTTTCATAGGGACATCTTCGAACTCAATTGGCTATGGCCAACCAAAGCCAAGGAGATGGTTGCACTGCCTGATGAGAGCCCAGGTGCCTTAGGGATTAGCTCCTATACACTTCTGACATGTATGCAGAGCGATATCATTGACATATGTATGCTATGATATGATATGTAATTATATAAGTCTAATATTATGTACAATGTTTGAGTATATACTTTACATACAAAAATATGAAATACCCACTTACATACATGTATGTATAATATATTCAAACATGCGCGTACATGTTTGTTGATCTAAATGTGCATGTATAGGAATAGATAGGCACAATATTATACATATTATAGCATGTTTTCCTCCAATTGGCACAGCATAGCTATAGTCATTTTAGACATTACACTGACACCCAGCTCCATTTTGAACAGATCCAGTTTGGATTCAGCGTGCTTCCATGGCTGAAATCAACCTGTTCGACCAATTTAACTGTCCTTCAAATGAAGTTGTTGAAAAGATTCATTTCATGATATTCCGCCATCATTTTGTTCTTGGATGTCTTATATATATATATATATGTATATAGATGGTTCTCCTTTATGATTCTTGGATATCACATTGGTGCTAAAGTTGCTCGGCATCTATTCGAGGCAGGCGGGTTCTGAGAGACAAATCGTGGCCGACTTGTAGGGGATAAAAAAAAACACTTCAGCTTGACCATTGCAAGCATTCCGTGGTTTACTGCATTATACCCCATGCCCCATTGTTTGCTTGAATATGGAAATTGATGAAACATTGATCATCAACCTTTGCATGTTGGGGTACCCTGTCTTCAGATAAACCATGGTAAACCATCAACAGTCATCCTGTCAGGCCACGATCGGCCAGAGGCAAGCTTCATCACTGCATGGGATGAGGGAAGATGATCCAAGTTACATGATTTCAGCAATTTATATTTGTAAAGTCCAGCAGCTAGACAGCAAACAAAGACGTAGGCACCAAAAACTCTAAACATGACGATAGATGCCAGCTCCCAGCTTGCGGCACAAGCTGTAGAGGTTGAGTGGTGGCCAAATGGCTTCAGCATATACAGCTGAAGTCTTTGAAAAGGGCCATGGGAAAGCCATAGGAATGCCTCGGAGTTGAAACATTCAGTTTTCGATTCGCATGTTAATGAACCAATGATGTTGATCTCCATCTACTACCTTGGGTATTTTATGCCAACCACCCAGATGTGCACCTCTTCTGTGATGTTTCATAACCAGGGTTCATTTGCCAGATGCATTTCCCATTTTTGCCGGTTGTCTTATTGTTTTCTTAGGTGTTTTATAGCTTAGATTCCAATTTCTACTTTGAACGGGCCAACTCCCAAGCATTTCGCGGATAGGTACCAATTAATTTGTCATCAATTATCAATTTCTTGTTAGTAGTCCTAACTACTATTCATGTTATAATCATCAATAACTCGTACTAATTCCCCAATTATTCATGCTAAATCCTGGTTTCTTTCCTGGTTCGATGTCCATCGTCTTCCCGTTGAAGCCAGGCAACGCCGCGCCCCCTGGAAACCAGTTCGGGCCCGGCTGGCACCCAAGGCGACAGGGGGAAGCTGATGATGTTGGGGACTTGGAGGCAGGCATACGTACGTCAAGTAGATGTGAAGTAAGTACTGAAAATATATATATATATATAATACTTATATATAGTATAATATTTATATGTAAATGTATCACGTATTTGCCTATCTCTCTCTCTATTTATATTATACATATTGCATGTTTTACAATTCAAGTAAAGCTGGACCGCTTGCGGTTACATGCCATTTTCCACACTTGTAGAGTAGCAATCTAGGGGGCTATGGCTGACGTGTCAGGTTTCCTTCAAAGCAATCCATCTTTGTTGGGTTAATCCCGCTTTTTGTTGGTCACATATATACTGCATTTTTCGGATGCACCCACGGTTACTTCAGTAGCTGATCCCTTCCAAAAAAATCTGGGACCGAAGGTGCCGCTGATGCTGCTGAAGAACAGCCAGCTCAGGTGCAGGGGTTCTCCCAACAAATGGGGCACAGAAACCGGCAACCATTGGGATTTGTTTAGGGATTTCCTGGAAATTGTGGGGCTTGAATTTGCACAAACAGGGATTTATATACCATCTGGGAATGTGGGCAAATGGTCCGTAAATTCCATAGGGTTAGATCTCCAGAGGGCACCATTTGCATCCATACAGCCAACGGATTCAGACATGTGTCAGCTTAACAACGTCATCCCATGGGGAAAGAGTTGGACACTGAGCCCCGTGATAGGCTTTTCGCTGCGCAGCACACAGATACACATTCCTGAGATGCTACACTCATACAGTGTCAGAGATGAAGTGATTCCTTCAGTATCTTCATGTCATTTTTCATGTACAGAAATCTTGGCAATCGTTTTATATACTACAAATGGGGCAGTTCCCGAGTGGTGTTGACTGGTGCTGGGCTGTGTTTCCTCATTTTAGAATCCCGTTCAGTTGAAGAATAGACACTGAATATATTCAATAAATCTCACCAAATTATGGATTTTCAGCATGTGGGGAGCATTAAGCACGGGAAAAAGGGTGGTTGATTATTGAGCACCCCCACTGCCAGCCACTTTCTCCAAATGAAAGCTGGTAACCGGCGTTGCCGAGGAGAATTCAGCTGCAAAGGCTGCAGGTAGTTCGGAGTCAGCTCCGCAGGTGGCGGGAATGTGGGAAGGGATTTGCAGGGGCGGCTTAGAAGGCAATCCCTTGTCGGTCATTAATTGAAGAGCCCACATACTGAAACTGGTTGGTGGTCTGGAACATTTTTTATTTTTCCATATAATTATTATTGGGAATAATAAATAATTATTGGGAATAATAAAAAATTATTGGATATTATTGGGAACAGTCATCCCAACTGACTTTCATATTTTTCAGAGGGGAAGGTCAACCACCAACCAGGTAATGTGGAGGCCGCAGTCAAAGAATACGGTAAATGGATCTGTAAATGGCCCCTAAGATGAGAGTACGGTTTACCATGGTGGGCTCAAGGGATCATAGGGAACACTATCATGAACGCAATATTATGTCCAGAGTACAACAACAAATATCTATATATATATATAATGATATAATTATGTGTATGCATATAATAAATATAATATAAAATAATAAATAATATATAATAAATAATATATATATAATATATAAGAATATATATATATATATATATATTGCATATATATATATTATATTTATTATATATATTATATTATATTGATGATATTATATATATATATTATATTATATTTATGATATTATATATATATATATATTATATTATATATTATATATTATATATTATAAATTATATATTATAAATTATATATTATAAATTATATATTAAATATTCAATATATATATAATATTTAATATCTAATCTATATTATTTATTATATATATGGTATATAATATATATATATAATATATTCAATATATAGTTAGTATTTAATATACTCTATATATATATATATATATGATATATATATATATATGGTAGTGAACAATGTGCCTTAAGAAGTCAGGCCATGCAGTGCCACAAGACACCTACTGAACCCCCGGCCCATGCCTTGATTGCAGTTGGTGTTGAGGCGGAGTCTCCTGGTGTTGCCAGTGGGACTGAGCCATTGCGGAAGAAGGTGAAAAGTACCAAGGACTGTCTGCATAGTCCTTGTTGCCATGACCAGAGATGAGTGGTAAACACTTGACATACGGCATCCCCCCAAAAAAGGACGGTTTGTATAGGTTTATGGCCTTAGGTTTGCCACAATATACTGCTGACATCTGACATCTGAGCGACCAGGTGGATAGTCACTGCAGGAGCCAAAGGCCACACCCCGAAAGGGGAAGGAAGAGGTGAAGGAACCCACAGAGTCCAGCAGGCAGGTCCCCTGGGGCCTCTGATAGATGCGACATGATGCGACTTTTCCCAGAAGCAAGCATCTCACATAGAGTAAACCCCCATCAAATCCAACTTTTTTCGTTGGCTAAATCCACATGTTTTAGATGTTATATAGTATTATATAGTTATATATCCCAATATTGTGAGATGTATTCTATATATATATACACATACATGTACATATACATACATGCATGCATGCATGCATGCACACATTACATTAATGTTGGCGTCTGATTAGTGTGAGGCCCCCCCTAAACAATTTTTTGCCCACTGAATAATTGACAGTTTTTTTGCGCCCCCCCCCCTCAACAATTTTTTTTGATATTTATTTCTAATTGATTTTCAATTTACTTTCAATTGAAATCAATTTACTTTCAATTGATTTCAATTTACTTTCAATTGATGTTCAATTGATTTCAATTTACTTTCAATTGATTTCAATTTACTTTCAATTGATTTCAATTTACTTTCAATTGATTTCAATTTACTTTCAATTGATTTCAATTTACTTTCAATTGATTTTAAATTTACTTTCAATTGAAATCAATTTACTTTCAATTGATCTTCAATTGATTTCAATTTATTCAATTTACTTTTAATTGATTTCAATTTTCAATTTACTTTCAATTTACTTTCAGTTGATTTCAATTTACTTTCAACTTACTTTCAATTTACGTTCAATTTACTTTCAAGGGTTTTGTTTTTTTTTCAACCCCAAAAGTTGTTGGCCACAATAGGGTACCATCCAAACATTCATATTATTGAGTAACTGAGCCACTCATGAGGTACCCCCTTGAAAAATTGTCTCGATGCTGTTTTTTTTATAAGGGTTTAATAAGGCATCTAACTATTTGGAAAACCTTGCATTTTAAAGCTTTAACACAAATATGGCGTTCTAAAGTAAATGGACTAGCTTTACTCAAAGAAAGGTGGAGAAGTTTTTTGTTTTTTTTTTCAACCCCACAAGTTGTTTGGCACAATAGGGTACCATCCAAACATTAATATTATTGAGTAACTGAGCCACTCATGAGGTACCCCCTTGAAAAATTGTTTGGATGCTGTTTTTTTAATAATGGTTTAATAAGGGTTTAATAAGGCATTTAATTATTTGGAAAACCTTGCATTTAGACGCTTTAACACAAATATGGCTTTCTAAAGTAAATGGACCAGCTTTACTCAAAGAAAGGTGGGGAAGGTTTTGTTTTTTTTTCAACCCCAAAAGTTGTTGGCCACAATAGAGTACCATCCAAACATTCATATTATTGAGTAACTGAGCCACTCATGAGGTACCCCCTTGAAAAATTGTTTTGATGCTGTTTTTTTAATAAGGGTTTAACCAGGGTTTAATAAGGCATCTAATTTTTTGGAAAACATTGCATTTTAAAGCTTTAACACAAATATGGCTTTCTAAAGTAAATGGACCAGCTTTACTCAAAGAAAGGTGGGGAAGGTTTCGTTTTTTTTTTAGCCCCAAAAGTTGTTTGGCACAATAGAGTACCATCCAAACATTCATATTATTGAGTAACTGAGCCACTCATGAGGTACCCCCTTGAAAAATTGTCTGGATGCTGTTTTTTTAATAAGGGTTTAACAAGGCATTTAATTATTTGGAAAACCTTGCATTTAGACGCTTTAACACAAATATGGCTTTCTAAAGTAAATGGACCAGCTTTACTCAAAGAAAGGTGGGGAAGGTTTTGTTTTTTTTTTCAACCCCAAAAGTTGTTGGCCACAATAGGGTACCATCCAAACATTCATATTATTGAGTAACTGAGCCACTCATGAGGTACCCCCTTGAAAAATTGCCTCGATGCTGTTTTTTAATAAGGGTTTAATAAGGCATCTAATTATTTGGAAACCTTGCATTTGAAAGCTTTAATAGAAAAAAAAAGGATAAAACTGAAAAACATGTTTAAATTAATTTAAACATAAATTCAAAAAATACTAGCGCTAGCGTTAAGTCGTATCAGCTTGTAAAAGTCGTATCGGGAGGCCGTGCGCCTGGAAAAAGTTCAAGTTTGGCATCACCACAACTTTTAGTAATTGAACAATTTCATTGTTTTGGGGCCGTGCGGCTGGAAAAAGTTCAATTTTTTTTTTGCATTGATTTAAAAAAATATATTTGATCATTCTTTCAAGGGGGCAAACGCTGGTTGCTGCTTGCCTGCTGCTTGCCTGCTGCTTGCCTGCTGCTTGCCTGCTGCTTCCCTGCTGCTTGCCTGCTACTTGCTGCTGCTTGCTGCTGCTTGCTGCTGCTTACCTGTTGCTGCTCACCTGCAGCTTGCCTGCTGCTTGCTGCTCCATGCTGCTGCTTGCTGCTTTTTGTTGCTGCTTTTTGTTGCTGCTTACCTGGCTGCTTGCCTGCTGCTTGCCTGCTGCTGCTCACCTGCTGCTCACCTGCTGCTCACCTACTGCTCACCTACTGCTTGCCTGTTGTTGCTGCTCCTTGCTGCTCCTTGCTGCTGCTTGCTGCTTGCTGCTCCTTGCTGCTGCTTGCTGCTGCTTGCTGCTGCTTGCTGCTGCTTGCTGCTGCTTGCTGCTGCTTGCTGCTGCTTGCTGCTGCTTGCTGCTGCTTGCTGCTTGCTTCTTGCTGCTGCTTGCTGCTTGCTGCTTGCTGCTTGCTTCTTGCTGCTGCTTGCTGCTTGCTTCTTGCTGCTGCTTGCTGCTTGCTTCTTGCTGCTGCTTGCTGCTTGCTTCTTGCTGCTGCTTGCTGCTGCTTGCTGCTGCTTGCTGCTGCTTGCTGCTGCTTGCTGCTGCTTGCTGCTGCTTGCTGCTGCTTGCTGCTGCTTGCTGCTGCTGCTTCTTGCCTGCTGCTGCTTGCTGCTTGCTGCTTCCTGCTTGCTGCTTTCTGCGTTCTGCTTGCTGCTCTTGCTTGCTGCTCTTGCTTGCTTGCTTGCTTGCTTGCTTGCTTGCCTGCCTGCCTGCCTGCCTGCCTACCTGCGTGCCTGCGTGCGTGCGTGCGTGCTTGCGTGCTTGCGTGCTTGCGTACTTGCGTGCTTGTGTGCTTGCGTGCTTGATTGCTTGCCTGCCTGCCTGCCTGCTTGCTTGCTTGCTGCTTGCCTGCTGCTTGCTTGCTGCTTGCTTGCTGCTTGCTTGCTGCTTGCTTGCTGCTGCTTCTTGCCTGCTGCTTTCTTGCCTGCTGCTTTCTTGCTTTCTTGCTTTCTTGCTTTCTTGCTTGCTTTCTTGCTTGCTTTCTTGCCCGCTGCTTGCCTGCTTGCCTGCTTGCTTGCCTGCTTGCTTGCCTGCTTGCTTGCCTGCTTGCTTGCCTGCTTGCTTGCCTGCTTGCTTGCCTGCTTGCTTGCCTGCTTGCTTGCCTGCTGCTTGCCTGCTGCTGCTGCAGCTGCATGCTGCTGCATGCTGCTTGCTGCTGCATGCTGCTGCATGCTGCTGCTGCTGCTTGCCTGCTGCTGCTTGCCTGCTGCTGGTTGCCTGCTGCTTCCGCCTGCTGCTGCTGCTGCTTCCTCCTCCTGCTGCTGCTGCTTCCTGCTGCTGCTGCTGCCTCCTGCTGCTGTTGCTTCCTCCTGCTGCTGCTGCTGCTTCCTGCTGCTGCTGTTGCTTCCTCCTGCTGCTGCTGCCGCTCGTGCAAACATTATGCCGAAACAGAAAATAACAGTCTCGGTCGCCTTGTTTGGCGCTGACGGGAGGTACGGGCGGGAGACACCAGCAGAGAGAGGGAATATTTCTGGCTGGTTGGAATGAAACATTGCGGTCGCATAGCGCGGTTGTGCCGCTGTGCTCACCATCTGCGCCATCTCGCACCATCTCGCAAGACGGCGCAGACGGCAAGACGGCGCAAGACGGAACAGACACAACAGACGGCGCAGACGGAGCACCGACAATTCCGCCCGCAATGGAATGAAGGTTTTTTTCCAATTCGTAATTCCTGGGTGGATAGGACAACAAACTTCTTGAGAGCTGTCCACGACATTGATGCACATCGCGCCAGCCATAGATTTGGTTGCGGAAAACAAGGGGCCCCCATATCCTTATATCATCCTAGATCATAGCCCTGCCAATAGGATTTGCTACAGCTAACCCACTTGCATTGCAAGAAATTTGAGGCTGTACCAATAGGGGTTTGATTTGGTCACGCGACGCAGGACATCAATATAATATATTCAAATCCAATAGGATTAGCTGCCGAGAATTTGTTTGTATTAACTTGTGCCCTTCAAAATCATCGCTGTGCGCAATGCTTCGGCTATTTTTAACTACATCTCCAAGTATGGATGAAACAGGCTGTGCCATGGTGATTCTTCTTCCCTGATGTGACTTTCCACTACCTGATGTGACTTCTCCGTATCGCCGCCGTGCCATGGGAATGATGTGACTTTTCCTGCCTGATGTGACTTAAGTACGGTGCTTGTAGGAAAAATATTTATAAAACAAAATAATGCGAATAAAAAAAACAACTAATAAAAATATGAAAAAACTTGCCACAATAACCCCCCCCCCAAACATCATGGAACTGCATAAGGAGGAACAAAAAATGCCACAATAGAGTACCATCCTACTAATCGGGTGCCAACATTACATTAAATTACACTACACTACATTACATTAAATACATTGCATTACATACATTACATTACATTACATACGTTACATTACATACTGTACATTACATTACGTACATTACATTACATACACGACATTGCATACATTAGATACATTAGATACATTAGATACATTACATACATTACAATACATTACATTACATTACATACATGACATATGTTACATACGCTTCATACGCTTCATACGCTACATACGTACATATACATACATACATAATTACATACATTACATACATTACATACATTACGTGCAATCATTACATGCATTACATGCATACATACATGCATGCATACATTCATACATTCATACATCTATACATCTATACATCTACACATCATACATACATACATACATACATACATACATACATACATACATACATACATACATACATACATACATACATACATACATCCTTACATACTTACATACTTACATACTTACATACTCATACATACATATTTATGCATACATACATACATTTACATATTTATACATACATACATTAGATTACATTACATTAAATACATGCATTACATGCATTACATGCATCTACACATATTATTTACATATATATTTATATATATATGAAGAAATGACCTTCTACCCAAACTTTCGGCCAGATTTTCCAAGTTTCAACCCCAAATTTAGACCAGACTGCAAAAATAGGCCCAAAACATCCCTTACAAGTGCCTAGACATGGCCCCTAAAAATCTTAAATTAAACTGCTCAACCCTTTTTGTTGCTTTAAATTTTCCCAGTTTCAACCCAACATGTTGAGCCTTTTGTAAAGGCCATATGTTTCGATCGTCCCATGTTTTCCCATGAAAAGTGGTCCAAACAGCTGCCCCGCAGGGCGCCCCACAGCTCGCGGCCGCCGCACCGGCGCCGCTCTGCGCCCACGCGCACGCCGCGCGCCACGTCGGAGCCGCCGCAGACGGCGCAGAGCCGCGGCGCGTTGAGCGACGGCGCCGTGGCGCGCACGCCGCGTGCCATGGCAGTTGTCATATTATCAAAGAATGATATGGAACCTTCTTAGGAACTTTCTATGGAAACTATTGAAACTATTGGAAACTTACATGTGCAATTGGTTTTCACATAATTAATTATGTTTCATAGTGTTTCCATGTTTTTCCTAAGAACACATGGTTTTTGTACATGTTCAGTCATGCTCATATGTTTTTTGGCAAAGACCTGATGTGGTTAACAAAAACGGTTGTAAACATGTTTCAACGACCATAATTTGGAGGTGCAATCGAATGTCGCATTTTCAATCTGATCTGTTAAAACAAGAATGATTCCACCAGCGAAAACGAGGAGTTAATCAAGAAAAACGTATTGCAAATTATCAATCATGACTTTGTTTCTAATCCAGAAATCATGTGGATTTGCTCTTTGGTGATGAGACGCGGTAGTGGAAATCACTAAATTCTTCAACAGAAAAATGTAGGATATTCATCTACAAACGCGGCATTCCCCATTGGCAGATTCGACTACCAGAGGGTAATCCTCCGTTATTTGCGGACTAAGTCGATGATCCATGACTGCAGGGGTGGTTTTTCAGGCAAAAATTGCAATGTAGACTCTGGTTAGTTCCACCAAAACAGTCATCTCTGATAGTATGGTGTGTAGGGACGATTTGTAATGTAGAAAACCCTGTTTATATATAATATACATATATATATATATACGTGTAAGTATATCAAGTACATCGTTTTTTTGAAGCTGATAAGCCACCAAGACGAGCCACCAACGTGTCCATCCACCGAGGTTCCTTGGGGGACCCAAGGCTTCCCAAGCTGTTGACAGACATCGAGTGTCTTGGTCTCCGAAGCATTGCAAGCGTTGGGTTTTCTATGGTTTTCTATATCCCGTAGCCTCTGGTAAATTAACATTTATACCCTGAAAATAGACTTTTTTTTAGTGGAAACAATGTTCCAACCCCTATCTGCCAGGCTGGTTATTAGTTATAGTGTCCTTTGTCATCCTGGAACATCTTAGAACCAATCCCAAGGGAGTGCCAGCGCGAAATCAATGGGTGTTTCATCAGAAAACATGGAGATTGAGTCACCAACTGCCAAAATTGACAGGTGAACATGTCCAGTATCTTGTCAACAGCAACAATTCTCTTTCGGTGGTGACATGCTCAAGATGCTATGCTGTAGAACAAGGATGTGAAGGTGAAGTGCCCAGATGAATTCTGATCATAGTTATAGTTTTTATTGTCAGCCTTTCCAGCTGAGGCAACCCATGAGGTTGATACTAGCTTGGCAAACGAACTGTGATGGCAAATCTTCTTTAAGTAGCATCCTACCATACCTCGCAATCATGCCCAGCTCCTTGAGAACAGATACAGAAATGCACAGAACAGAATGACCAGCATGATTGGCGTTGGTTTTTTGACATATACAGCATTTCCACGCAATCATAACATTGGAAAAATTGAATAATGTATATAAGATTATATAAGTTACTCAACATGTCTCAACCCTGACTGTTGATGAGGGATCATGGAAATTCCAGCCTGCTGTGTGCACTGTCACAAGCCAACATTCTGGGGCTTTCTGTGTGAGTGCAAGCGGCAACATGGCACACCGGGCGACTGGGTCTGGATTTGTGAGGACAACTCTCAGTGTCGTTTGTGTCCGCATTGTTTGCAACCAGCGAGCGATATACTGACGTGCCCAAGCTTCTGTGATTCAGTGGTCAAGTCCATCACTAGCACTTGCCACACAGATGGGTCAGACCAAGCAGTAAGTGACGAGACACTGGTTCCCTCTGGCATGCGCGCCAAAGGTGGGCCGGCTGCTACTCATTGCTTTGTTCTGCTTGACTTGAAGTATGTCCTGGTTCTCTACAAATGGCGACATCCAGACGAGGTGAGTGGCATCAGGGTCCGCCCCCATGCCCCAGAATTGATTAACTTCCTACTGAAACAAGATACACTACAACTGGGCTTGATTTGTACGCTCACCAGTGCAAATGCAACCAAGGTGGCAGTGAAGTTGCTTGAGACATCTACCGGCACCACATGGGCAAGGAGTCCGGACTTCGATGCAGAACTCTGTGATGAGAACGGCTTGAGGGTTTTGCTATTTGACGAATCCCTGTGCAGCGAGGCTCATCCAACAGCTCGGGGGATTTCTGAGACACCAATGCACATTCTAAATTTGAGTTTAGTCCTTTCAGCTTGCGAGCCATTGGCGGAACTGCCAGAAGGACTTCGCCGAAGTTTTGTCAGGCAGCATTTCCTGTTCGTTACATATGACGGTGAGTGGAATTGCTACATAGACGAAGCAAGTAAGCCGAGCATGCTTTCCATCAAGTGGTGGGAACCGGATGACACAGAAGATGATGAACTTGAGCTTCTGCAGAGGTACTTTGACAACTTTGTCCAAAGCAAACCTCCAGATGTGCAACAATACCTGGAGGAAAAAAACATATATGACTTGAGGCCGCCTGTGCGTGCGCAGCTCCAAAGCGCTTCCGCCAACATTTCTTTGCTCCACTGATTAGATGCTGAGGCATTTGGCTACCTCAAGGCAGTCATAGTTGCTCCTGCCGTTTGCCCGCGCTTGTTTGAATTTCACCCTGGACAATCCTTTACATATATGATATGTTCCAATTTTCTTTGCAGCTTGCAAGGTTGAGTCTGCATTGTTTAAAATGCACCTGTACATGCCCGTACGCTGGTGCAACTGGAGATTAAAAATTGACATTGGCATGCATGCCTATCTCTCTGTGGCTCGGGTGGGGCAGATGGGTCACATCTTTTTTGTGACGGGCGTGTAGGCATTCCAGGGACAACGCCAAATCGGATTAAGAGCATCAGACTTTGAAATGGGCATGCATCTAACACATTCTGAAGCGACAGGACAAAAACCTGCACCCGCAAGATCTTCTCTTAGTAGCCCAGCAAGCGCGTTGGAGCTTTGTATGTTTTGATGCTGTGTGAGGATGCAGCGGCCGGTGATGCCTCCATGCCTTCATGTCACCCACTGTCATTCTTGGGCGCTCAGGAGCCACTTCCGGCGGGTGGAGCGGAAACTGCCATTGGATGCTTCGGGCTGGTTGCGGGAAACTGCCCAGCTGGAACTCTTCGAAGAGGCCATGGCTGCCAGTACCTGGTTGGGGCATGTCGGGGCTGGGACTGACCTGTTGAGATCAAGATAATAGAGTATAGATATTGTTTCTCACAAAAAACGTGTTAATTATATATGTTATATTATCATTATTATTGGTATAATTTTCTAATAATGTATGTATGAAAAGATTGTCTTCCAAGCATCCCAAAGGACCAAGCAACCACCTGCAATTTCAGGTTTCTTGCGGGTCTCGAAAGCCAGCTTCCGCTTCAGAGTTGCTGAGCGATTTGCTCAGATAATGTTTGCAAATGGTTTCATACGCAGATATGGTGCGGTATGTTGCCAATGATAAAGCCGGAAGCACCATCAAAAATCCGGAATTTAAACATGTTTTAAAACTGAATTAGGACAAGTGGAAAATATATGAACATATGAAGATCTTTTGCCGGACTGTCGAGATGAAAGCCTGTTTTTCCCCCCGCCCCCAGGGCAATCAGCCACCTGGCACTCATGAAAGAAACATCATTCATTCCCAGACAAATGACTTGCAATTGACGCTCGGTCGTGTCATATACGGTTGGCACCATAGTAAGCCAAGCAACACTGCCACCTTACCATGGTCAAAACATGGTCAGCCTCTGGGCTCAGGCTTCCACGTAGCGAGGTGGGGAGGTGGCCCCTTTCTAACTGAGCCATGCCGTTTTCCCACGTTCCTCCTCTGCTGATCCTCGAGTATGTGACCCCATTGCTTTCGGTGTGCCCCTGCCACTATCGAGTGACTTGTGTTTTGACTTTGATCGGCCTTCGGGTGGTTGCTATTGGATCTTCAGAGGTTCTGTTGTCCGGTCTTGTGGATACTTCTCATCTTTCAGTGAAATATCAGTCAGTTCCGTGGCATGGGACTGAAGTCAGGTCGCGTCCACATGACATCACAGACAGTTACCTCTTGAAGATGACACTTGAACCATGGAGCAGATTGACGTCCATTGTTTGCTCGCGTACCTTTGGCCTGGCCAAGCATCGTGAAATCATGACAGATGGTGGAGGTGTGATGCCAAGACCTGAATGCAGGAACCCAAACCCTTATTGCATGGTGTGTGTCGTTGGATTGCTTTGCGGAGGATACTATGTATGGGCTCATGTCACTCGCTTTCTGCAATGCCTTGATTTGCCGGTGACTTCAGCCTTTGCCCCGGACTTGAGCCAGAAGTGTGTTCTAGCCTACGCACTCTTGTGCATCACTTGTAGGTTCTGGCTTGTCAGTCTGACTTCGATGATGTTGATAGCTTGCCACCCGAGCTTGTCATTGAGTAGGAAGTTGTGACCGCACAATACAAAAAGTAAAAAAAAAGCCGGAGGGCGGAACACCCCGAGTTTACCAACAGTTAGGTGCCTGCACTTTGTGACAGGTTTTTCCTTGTCTTGACTTGCTTGCAGTTGATGCTTGCTTGTACTTGTTTGCCAAAACTCTCTTGCTTGCCTTTGTGCTTGAGCTTGTTGCTGTACAGCCTTCTAAGATCTGTCATTTTCGAAGCAGCTCTGACAACATTGCTGTTTCTGTATGCCATTGGCTTTTCACTCGGCAAGGGACGACCGCGCGACGTGGTTTGTCAACTGCCATTCTTAGTGTGACATTTCCCTGGCACACTGCCAGTATATTGTAGTTAGCTGTGTGCTTTCCATTCTCGGTTCACACCCCTTCTGACACCTCGTACCCCCCTTAACCGGGAAGGGGCGTTGGTGCTGCGACTCCGTGCGCGCTGTATTCCGTCAAAACGTGGTCTATTTTCCCATTAAAAAATGGCCATCCGTCCATTGGCAGGGGTTATTGCGCCCATCAAAGCGAACACCCCATTATGGTGGGACGATCCCTGCCTACCATGTTTTGGGCGTGCTACATCTAGCATTTCATACCCGTGGGTGGTGCGTGGGTGGGGGGTATGGTTTGTTTTTGTTTTCTCCCATTACCATGTGAGCATCCATTCACATTAGCGCCCTGCCCACAGGAGCTTCAGTGGATCCTGCAGCAACATGAGCCTCCACCAGAAGAGGTGCTGAATATGGAGGGTTGGCCAATCTATTGGTGGTTGACTGCATGGGGCAAGGCACCAATGGGCCCACAGTAAAATATTTGTTGATGTTTCATGATTTTTGAACTGCCATGGCGCAAAGTTCGAATGCAAACATATGCAAACCATTTTTTTTACACCAGGACATCCGGGCTGCACCGGCAAGAAACTGATGCATCGTATTAATTGTATTAATGGCATGTTTCATGCAGTCCCAAATCAACAATTCCTGAACCTTTTCTTCGCAAATGCGGCGGCTGCGAATAAAATAATTATAATTCGTGTCACAGGTCATATCAGCATGTTATTTAGGGTGCTAAGTATGAGGTCCCAACGCGTTTGTTTGGATGAGGGATTGTTTTTGGGGTGGATTGGCAAAATTTTGAACCAAAACCTTATTTCCAAGTCACAGTTTTGGATTATGAGGGCATTTTTTCAAGTCTTGTGCTTGGGCTGAGGCAACCCCTGATGCCAGTCCCGATGCTAGCCCAACCGGTGCTCCCAAATTTGTGGACGGAGGTAGCTTGGCCACATGTTTTGGGAAATTGGTTGCACCAGGAAACATGGAAATTGAACAATTTGACTTTCCAGAATGGGTGTTTCTCGATTTTTCTTGGGGAACTGAATGGTTCATGGGTTACCCCCTTGAAAAATTGTTTGGATGCTGCAATTTCTCTTGGTTGAAGTAAATTTTTGGCATTCTGACGATTCTTTGGAAGCGGCGCTGAGAAAAATACAGCAGCTGCAGTAAAATCATGTTCAGATCTAGTGGATCAAACAAAAGAAAATCAGCAGGAGCATCCTCCGTTAAAAAACTGGGAAGAGCTTGCATTAAGCAAGACCAAGGGCACCCGTTCAAGGTCTGGGAAAGATCGGGAAAACTTTGCACAACTCACTTACTACCATCACCCTGAATCGCCATCCAACATTCATTCAAAAAAGATAATCTTCCAAACGGTTTGGCGCAAATTCTGCCGAGTTTCCTTACCTTTTTGGTCTTGGTTGGACCCCGCAACGCAAGGCAAGGTCTTGTCAAAACGCAAAACGTGTTTGTTGTAGCAACCAAACCGCCAGAGGCGATCAAAAAACATGTACCGCAGGTAAAACCCCCGGCGGAGAGGCGCACCTCTGGTGACCCTGGTGATTGCAGGGGAGCTTCAAGAGGGAGAGAAAATTGTAGATATCGCATGGGCAAATATGATCAAATATGTAAATCTGGTTGGTGGTTTGGAACATTTTTTATTTGTCCATATATTGGGAATGTCATCATCCCAACTGACTTTCATATTTTTCAGAGGGGTAGGTCAACCACCAACCAGAAATGATGATTACAACAGCCGTATCCCAACAACCATATGAAATGCGCACCTTTCCAATTGTTCTGTCCCAAACCTTTGGAACATACATGTTTCCCATGAATCTAGGCGATGAATGGGCCTCCATACCACATCCAACACCTAGTATTTCAGCTGGAGGTGTTTTGGTAAGGCCTTGAAAAAGATGCCCAAGCCAATTTCCAGGTTGAACATGTCAGAGAGCCAGGCAATGGCTGCAGAACAACTTTGCATTGTGGTCACCAAAGTATTGGCTAATCATCCTGCTTAGCATGTGGTATACATGACGTTGGTCAGTAGTGAACTCCTGAAACTGCTGTTTGCATACATTTATCTCATTTATCATAAGTTTTATACTACTATATTATCAATATTTATTGCGGTCCCTACCATGGGGATTCCAACCCTCCCAAAAGGTGCCCCCCAATAATGAGGGTTGATGTATTCTTCTTGATCGGCAACTATGTTCCTAAGGGCATACTGTATCCTTCTTCCATGATCTCCCAATAAGATGGTTGATACCACCATTTTTCCGGGCGACATTCCCTATTATAGCCATTTTATTTGGGTAAATTATAGAGACCTCACGTCGTGACATCATTGGAATCATGGTTAGTTATATAGTACAGGGAATCATCCCAAAATATCCAAAATCACCTAATTTCAGGCTAGTGAGTGACATATTACTCTTTTTCCCAGATGTTTCGGTGTCTTTGATGGTCAACCGAAGGCGCCAATGGGTGATTTCCAGGCCACTGAAGCTGGTGAAGCGTCGCCCAGTGCGCCGCCTGGCTGAAGTCAGTCGTCCCTGGCTGAGTCGCCTCTCGGTACCCCCAAATCATCCAAAATTGTATTATTTTAGTATTGAAACCTATGCTTTAGGGGATCACCAACCTTTGGACAGCTCCAAATATCTGTGAATCTATTGCTTGTCGTGTTTGTTGAATCGAAATCATACCTGAGATCAAAGGACTTGGCCACATCTAGCCAAATATGACATGTAGGTTCATGTAGATGTGTATGTTTTGTACATTGCTCAATGATTGGTAGAGAACGGGCTTCCAACATGTACCATATAATCATGTCCGACCAAGGCATAGGCTAGGGGTACCCCCATGGATTGGAAACCTCCATATGCGAGCTGTCTTAATGTGGTAAACCCAGGAGTCAACCATTACTTTAGTTTCAAGGATTCAGACCTGTAAACAGAACTTCAGCCCATGATTCCCTTCACTTCTACACTGTCCACCACTTCAGATATCGACCTCCCGCTAACTGGTGACCCCCAGGACTGAGGGAGTAGATTTGGAGACCGCCCTTTTGCACTTGAGACACTGCTGCTTGGTGTTCCAACACGGCCAGTGGTGAATGGAGGGAGCGGTTGGGAGCTATGGGTATCCACATTCCTTTTTTAAATGAAGTGCCAAGGAGCTACCAAGAGTTCCCCAACCACATGATGATAGTTTTATTGTGTTTTATTCATGCTCATTCTGTTAAATTAGCTCATTAGCTGTTATTCGCCACTGGGGCTGGGACAAAAAAGCCGAAAGAAGCAATTGCACCCGTGGAAATGCACTGGTGCTATGTTTGAGGCCGTAGCTATGCACCGAGGAACGGGCATTTCCATGGGATTTCGTATAAGATTTCTAGATCTGTAGTGCCCAAAAACTGTCGAGGTGAGAGAGAACATGCCTATTTGCAACAAATGCTCGGCTATGATGACGTCATTTTTCGCGAGGAGCCACCGGTTTGCAGATTTGTTTGTCGTGTGTCCTATAGATGCTTTGGAACATGCCCTTTCACAGCAACACTTTAGAAGTATTCAGTTTCAAGTGCCACGGTTTTGAGGGGAAAGCGATCGACAATGTTGTCAGGTTTTGGTTGCCATGGGCGATTGGGCGCGGAATATGTGAATTCATCAGTCAGGCACCCATGTGCGCCAATCACACTGCACACCATGTCAATGTGGACATACGTAAACTATATATATATAATTATATTTAATTATGCATATATAAACTTATATTATACATATACTTGACTATGCTTTGTTCAAATCTACCATGGTCCGCCTTGCAATGTAGGTGAATGTTGTATGTCAAACGGTTACCGTGCCGCTTGTAGTTGCATGCGTTTGTAATCATACAGATCCCACACATGTTTCAAAACGTCAACTGACTGAGGTCAAGCCTTCCATCCACACGAACATAGTGATTGAATGCCGGATGGGCTTGTTGAAGTTTTTACAGCTACTGCTAGCTCTCCCCAAATGCAGCCATTCTAATTATTTTACCGTCTGGCTCACATTGTCATTTCGCCAATGCGCACAGGAGCGACTAGCTGAAATCAAGCAGGTGCAGAGAGGGAAGAATAATCATGGAAGAAAGCAAGTCTCACCTTGCAACCTCAAAAAAGGCTTGCCTTTGTTCTCAGGTTCTTTCCCCACAAATGATCTAGCTGTTTGGTGGACATTTCTTCTGCACGATTCGAGGACCATCATGTTCTGCATTGTTTCATGGTAAGAGCAAGAGCTTCTTGCGAACTTTGTTTTGGCTATTTTTGGCCCACTTTGACTATGAACTAACTCGTGCCATGGCAGACAAACTTAATTTCCATCAGAGCTGGCTGCAACTCGCCATCAAACATTCCAACGCGCTAACGTGCATATAGGTTGTGATGGGTTGGGGCTCATCTACAATAACCATCGGATCCCCAGTGTGGCAATGAAACGTAACATCCGCACTTTTTGAATGAATTGAACAAACTAAGACTTGTTAGAGGGCCGCAAGGTCAGCCACCAGAAAGCAAGCTCCCCATAGATATGTTCAAGGGCCAATATTCTGGGGTCCCCATTTTTCGCTTTCCTTACATCCCATGAAAGTTGCTACTGTTTTCGGTCAGATGATCCATTTAAAGAATGCATCCGATGCCTTTGAGCATCTCTGGGCTGTAGATGGTGTGATATTCTGTTCCTTCTGTATTTTTGGCCGTTTTCTCAATTGCATTAAACCACCAGATGCTAGATTCCATCTATTCTTCTTGGTCATCTCAAACCCACATTAGTGTTGATGAAATTCCCCCTTTCGTTGCTCAAACCATGTCAAATCCACATGGTTTTGTTTGAACATAGGGTAACCCCAAATTTATCCAAATTTCATGGTGGATCACCATATGATCATCATTTACCCAGATTTACCCTATCTGGTTGGTGGTTTGGAACATATATTGGGAATGTCATCATCCCAACTGACTTTCATATTTTTCAGAGGGGTAGGTATACCACCAACCAGATTATTATTAAACATCATTAACCATAGAATAACCAATAATATTAAATAATATTATAATACCCTTATTTCCAGTACATTAACCACAATGGTAGGTCAACCACCAACCATTGGATGATTTTGATGACCAGGGGAATCGCATCGGATGCTGCGATTCCACCAGGTCGAGGAGGAGATCGACTATGAACAGCGTCGCGTGCGACACATGGAGACGGACGCCGGGCCCCACCTCCGCCGACGGCCGACCTCACCAGGGCACCCAATCCCATAAACCTACCAACAATGCGGATTGGTTATGTTTTTTTTTTAATATATATATATATGTATGTATATATATATATGTGTATGTATATATATATATATGTATGTATATATATATATATACATATGTATATATATATATATCATTCTATAACCCATAAAAATCCTGATGCTGGGGATGGTTTGAGTTTAACACCTTTCTGATTTGGGCAGTTGAAGGATTTGCCCATCCCCGCATTCATGTGGACTTGTTTCAGCTTTGACCCATCCCTAATCATCCCTAATCCATAGGTTTGTCTGATAAGAATGATAAGAATGGGACGCTGTCCAAATCCAGCGAGGTTAAGAATCATCATTCACCCCATTGCTGTGGTTGGCAAGACCTGGATGTACATGCCTTTCTTATCAAACCCTGCTTGACAGAAACCGGACTGATCAACTCTGAAGCGTGGCCTCAGATCAGCTCATGTGTGCATGATTTATATCTGAACACCGATGTGACACTCCCTAACCTTATGGGTTTGTAAGGTGATGTTGCTCACAACTGATGACATTGTTTGCATTTGGAGTCATCAGGTTGTACCCGGCAGTATTGGGAGGCAAACATAACATCCAGTTCAGCTGAGGAGCATCGGAAGCGCGAGCGCAACTTGGCACGAGTAGCTGCACGGGCCATCAGCATGTCGGTGAATGACGGCGATGGAAACTTGCGTGTGACCTGGCCTGACCTGGCAACGTAGACGAAGAGGTGAACGCAAAATTTGGGAATGCTCACTGGGTTTTTTCTCGATTTCTTAGTAGAGGGGATGATGTGTAAAAATCATGGATTGAAAGATATGAAATGAATTTGCAATGAGTATAGTCTCAACTGCATTCATCACCATCATCACCATGTCACCATTATAAACAATAATCCACCATTCTTAACCACTATCAACAATTATGAATATGATCAACCATTATCAACCATGTTTAATGATAACAGTTCTTAACAACTATCAACCATTGTTAAATGAATCTTGGCGATGATTTTCACCCCCTGGGATTTTCACCGGAGGCCATGAGACATGCTGAGCAGTTCGAATCGGAGTCCGCGGTGTGGCAGGTGAAGAACGCCCCTGGGTGACGTCAACGTTAAACGCCCGGGCCTGGTGCCAGTATACTCAGTAGAAACCATATGAAACCATGGTGGATGTAGGGAACTCCCATTAATGGGACCACGCAAAGGTGGTAGTTCATATTTGGGGGATGGGACTAGATGAACCTGGGGGTTGGATAAGCCATCAACAACCATACGCAAAACCTGAATTTTGCTGATTTGCTGATTGATTTTTGTGAGTTTTCCATTGGTTAATCTAACCAAGTCAGGGGGATCTAATGAGAACGTGTCTCGCTATAGAGGCCTCAGGCGCATGCTGCTGTATAAATTGGACTGCTCAGATTGCGTGAGAATGAGATTCTAATATTTCTAATTGAGGTTGGTGGGCAGAATTCTGCTGTTTGTGCAAAGCGCCATGCTGTATTTCCAAGGAATCAATGCAGAAGCAAGCTCTGCAGTTGAATATCTACCTGAAACAAGATATGGAGACCTGGCAGCAAACGTGGAGCTATGAACGTGCAGCTAGAATCAGATGAATCAGTAGAGACGGCAGTATCAGGGGAGCCTTGACACTGCACATGAACCTAGACCCTGTTGAGATAGAGAGCACTGAGAGAAAAGAGAAAAAGAGACGGGACCACGGACTACGGATGTACAGATTGTCAAGCTTCTACCCAATGTTTGCTGATTGGTGACAGTCAGATCCTTCCGCTTATACAGCTGCCCAGCATTGCTGGGCCCTTGATTTGAAAGGAAAAGTTGGAGCAACTCAACTCAAAACTTGCCGCTTTGTGACTGGACTGCATTGGCTGGGGCCATTGGAATCCTTGAGCTGAGGCACTGCTGGGAGGATCAGGTCCATCGCTGGTCATTGTCCAAAACATTCTTGTGATGTCGAAATGTTTCAGGTGTAGCCATGATGAGCCATTTGCACAAAACAATACGAGCCACCGGTAATTCGTGTGGGCCAGCTTGCGTTCTTCAGTTCAACTGGCTATTTCCACATGATGTTTGGCCAGGCTTTGCCATGCCACCTAGGCGAGAAAAGCTTGAAACTGATGAGGCCAAACAGTGGATCGAGGCTGGTGAAAAGCGAAGTCATTCATGGCTCGCATCATCATCTCATTCTTCTCAACATCCACCTGCGTACTCCTGCGTTGAGAAAATGGGTTTTGGAAAGTTCTTTGTTTTGTTTTCAGTGGGTCTCATGTGCGTTGAGGGATTCATGGTGTTCCAAGCAGTGGCCGGAGAATGTTCATAGGTCAACCGGTGTCGCCATCAGCTGCTGGGAAATCTTACTTTTGGCGACCAGGAGCAGCGCTTACGCGAAGAGGAGCGATGGAACGAGGAGCAGGCACTTGGAGCAGAAGTGCGCGCACTGCAGGCGACAGGGACGTGCTGAGTGGCTGGGGGCAGGGGGTAGGGGAAGTCCCGGCCAGGAACAGTTGTTTTGTGTTGGTTGGTTTGTTGGTTTGTTTTGCAGAAATTTTGCAGCAGCCTTTGCTGTGATTTGATGTTGGGTATTCCGCCTACACATGCACGCGCATGCATAGATACTATGTACATGAATTTGAGACTTTGAACACGTTTTGACTTTGAAGCATTTGCTTGAAGATGCTTGACGTACAGATTGGTGTTGTAGGTTTTTCAGGCCCAAGGAGTCGTTTGGATAATTTTCCAGATCAATTGCTAAGCTGCTACCGCATGCTCTCCACATTTTCTTGCTCTCCACATTTTCTCCACATTTTCTCCACATTTTCAAGTGCCAAAATGAACCAGTGGTTGTGGAGTGGTTTTCCAATGTTTTCCATGGTTTTGGATAGTCCCTTCAGAATCTTCAGACAGGATCGCCGAACCTTCGAGGAGCAAGCGTGCAAGAGGTCTCACATTGCCCAGACCCTTGCCAGAATGTTGGCATCTGCATGGGTCACATATTCACATCTCCGCTGGGGAGTTTTCAATAAGTGTTTTCTGAGGTGTTGATCCAAGATCTTCCAAGCAACTTCTTGTAACTTCAGTATCATATATTATCATATATTACTACATTATCAGTATTATCCTCTCCTGCCCACCCTCGAAGCGAACCAGACTTTCATGGACTTCAAACGAGCTTCCAAATTCAAGAAACTAAGGTTGAAGCAGCTGGCGGACTTGAGAAAAAAGCCGCTCGACGGACTTCTACACTTGCTTTTTCTTGGTCCCCTGGGCATCAGGACACATAGGAATGCCAGATAACTTCAAAGCCATGGGTTTTATCCCATGTGGAACTGAAAGAACCACTGCAACGCATCACGGATCCTTTTTACAGCTTGCAAACTGTGGTGCTCCAACCAGAAATAGTTGCATAATATTGCATCTTTTGTGGTGAACGTGGGACACTGTGTCAGCACACATCGAGGAAGTGTGGCTGAAAGAGATTCTTCTGTTGTGGGACCTGGCTATCTCATCCCTCTCGAGGTTGACCAAAGTTGCGGTAAAGCATGGTAAACCCAATCATAAACCATCCCCAATATAGTTTGATTATTTTCCCTCCAAACCCCGGGATCGCCCACACTCAAACAACACATCCAAACAATATACCCTCAACTACTTAGGGTCTAGAATAGGTGACCCTACAGGGGTGACTTTCCAAAGGTCTAAAGACATCAGTCCCCCCATTGTAGACCTTTTGGCCTACCAGCATTGTAGACCTTTTGGAGTCTCGTCTTGAGCAGCTTTAGTGCAAAACAAGCACTTCTCTGGGACCATGATTCCAGAAATCATGTTTTTTTGAAATTCATCTGTGGCAGCCTTGTTGAGAGCAAGATAAAAAAATGATGGGGAAAAAACATACCCTCAAGTACGAAGTGTCTAGAATGGGTACCCCCCTGGGGGTAAATTCTAGGGTTCTAGAATGGGTACGCGATATGATTGTAGAACCCTGACCTCCCCCCATTGTAGAACCCTGGAGGTTTTGGTTCCTAGAGTTGTTTTTTTTGATGTTGTAATTTGCTGTTTCCGACCACTTCAGATATCTATGGATCATGTGGGAGTAGTTACCTGGAAAGCCTGGTGCCCATCGTTTTGGGCACTGTCCAAAGTGCCCGGAACTCTTGTCATTGGAAAATGTGCAATTTTTTGGGAGTAGGATTTCTACGTGTGTTTATAGCACTCTACGGGTATTTGTGGCACTTTTATTTTTTTCCGAACATGGTTCGCCAAAAGATAAAGTGTCGTTTTTATGTGTAAGAAGGTTTATGTTCACATGGGCCATGGACCATGGATATGAAATTATCGCTTTGGCTGCGCAACCTCCTGAACCAAAACATGCAAAGTGCATAAACGCAGATAAAAAAAACAGGATGCCAGGTACCAATCACCAATGCAACAAGAGGTCCTGAAATGATATCTCCCAATCATTCTGTGGATTTATCTTCACCAGGCCAATAGATATGAACTTAGACCCGCCATTCCTGTACAACCCTCTGAACTAAAATGTACAAACAATATGATTTATTACTCGGAAACCGTTGAGTTTTACACACGGTTCTGACATGATATCTCCCAACTCATTCTGTGGATTTATCTTCACTAGGGCCTTGGATATGAACTTAGACCCACCATTCCTATACAACCTTCTGAACAAAAATGAAGAAACCAATTTGATTTATCACTCTTTGCATAAGGTTCTGAAATCATATCTCCCAGCTCATTCCGTGGATTTGTCTTCACAAAGGCCCAAAGATATGATTTTAGACCCCCCAATCCTGCAAAATCCTCTGAACCAAAATGAAGAACTCAATTTGATTTAACTAAAACTAATTACTACTCTGAAACAGTTGAGATTTACACACGGTTCTGAAATGATATCTCCCAACTCATTCTGTGGATTTATCTTCACTAGGGCCTTGGATATGAACTTAGACCCACCATTCCTATACAACCTTCTGAACAAAAATGAAGAAACCAATTTGATTTATTACTCTGAAACGGTTGAATTTTACATAAGGTTCTGAAATCATATCTCCCAGCTCATTCCGTGGAATCCTGCAAAATCCTCTGAACCAAAATGAAGAACTCAATTTGATTTAACTAAAACTAATTACTACTCTGAAACAGTTGAGATTTACACACGGTTCTGAAATGATATCTCCCAACTCATTCTGTGGATTTATCTTCACTAGGGCCTTGGATATGAACTTAGACCCACCATTCCTATACAACCTTCTGAACAAAAATGAAGAAACCAATTTGATTTATTACTCCGAAACGGTTGAATTTTGCATAAGGTTCTGAAATCATATCTCCCAGCTCATTCCGTGGATTTGTCTTCACAAAGGCCCAAAGATATGATTTTAGACCCCCCAATCCTGCAAAATCCTCTGAACCAAAATGAGGAATCCAATTTGATTTAATTATATTTAATTATTACTCGGAAACGGTTGAGATTTACACAAGGTTCTGAAATGATATCTCCCAACTCATTCTGTGGATTTGTCGTCACAAAGGCCCATAGATATGATTTTAGACCTCCCAATCCTGCAAAATCCTTGAACAAGAATTGGAAAATAACAAATTGATTCAGGTGCCAGAAAGTTCTTTTTAAAACAGATTAAGACATACTTTAAAACTACTATATGTCATTTTTTTGACATATTGCCAAACATTGTCTTACGACGCTTTCCCCTGATAACTACATCGAAACCTTAAGTACTAATCAAAAAATGAAATGATGTCATGGACGCGAGTAATAACCAGTCCCAGCCAATCAGTTTTTAGTATTAAGATGATAAGATGAACCCTCAAATGGGATCTTGACCCCAAAAAATGTTTTCTAAATGCGATTAATTAAAGATCAAATTGACCAACCTGAAATTTCCCGGAAATGACAACCGGGATCTATTTCTATTCATTAGGGGGGTTTGAAATAGGAAAAGGGGATTAGCATGGGAGCAAAGGAAGCAGGCGGGTAATTGAGTTTGTGAGATTGCGGGTTTTGCTTAGGTGCAATTGTTGACTCCGTTTTTTGACAACAGAAAGGCTCCAAAATGAAGGGGTTCTAGGATCATATTCCTGATTCCCCATGATATGATTCCAGAACCCCCCCAACACAAACTGCCAAGGTTCTAACATCATCAAGTTGATCCCCGGGGCCCCCCCCTAGGAAAATGATTGTAGAACCCCTGTAGGGGTTCTAGAATCACCCTCAAGGGTCCCTGCTCGTAGTTGACGGTATGAAAAAACCTTGCTTCAAAAAACATATCATGGTGCAAGATTCAGCGTGCAAAAAATGCTGGGATGTGGGAGCTGCTGTGATGTCATGGTTGATTCTGGAGAAAACCACAATAGACCTAGAAATCTGTACCAGGCCAAAGGTCTACATATCTTTACGTACTGACTGCAGGCAATTGTATATAGACCCAGCGTTTAGGGTCTACAGTGCAACCCCCAAGGTCCCTAGCTAGTACCTGAGGGTATCAAACAATATGATATGCTTATGACCAGAGGATGAATGAAAACACTGGCTATACGCAGTGATTTTGACTTCAAGTCTTCAAGATTTGGGATCTTAATTTAGGGTTTTAGGTTTTAGGGCTTTCGGGTTTTAGGGTTTGTTGTTTTGGACAGTAAAAGAAGCTTAAACCCTACGCAGGGTTTCGAGCATGTCAAAGGATCTGCATGATCTGCGGGATTCGCCGCGGGCAAACCGGCAAGGTTTGCAGCGATTATGTTTGATATTGTTGGGTTTACCTTCTGGTGAACTAACATAGCAATGGAAAATCACCATTCTTAATGGGAAAATCCACTATAAATAGCCATTTTCCATTGCTATGTTAGTTCACCAGAGGGTATCAAATTACAAATCATTACAATATTATTGATATTGCCTTGGTCTGCCTTTGACAAGGCAGACCGTGTTGGAACCACGCTTGGTGCCTTGACACGTGGAACTGGGCTACTGGTGGAGCTGTCCTATCTATCCTATCTATCCTATCCCATCTATCCATCTATTCATCTATCTATCTATTTATCTATCTATCCATCCATCTATCCATCTATCCATCTATCCATCTATCCATCTATCCATCTACCCATCTATCCATCTATCTTATCTATCTTCTCTATCTTCTCTATCTTCTCTATCGATCTATTTTTTTTTATATTTGTATCTTTCTATCGTTCTATCGTTCTATCGTTTTATCTATCTATCTATCTATCTATCTGTCTATCTGTCTATCTGTCTATCTGTCTATCTGTCTATCTATCTATCTGTCTACCTGTCTAGCTGTCTATCTGTCCATCTGTCTATCTGTCTATCTGTCTATCTGTCTATCTGTCTATCTATCTATCTATCTGTTTGTCTGTCTGTCTGTCTATCTGTCTATCTGTCTGTCTGTCTGTCTCTCTGTCTATCTGTCTATCTGTCTATCTTATCTGTCTGTCTATCTATCTTATCTGTCCGTCTGTCTGTCTATCTGTCTATCTATCTATCTATCTGTCTATCTATCTATCTGTCTATCTATCTATCTGTCTATCTATCTATCTATTTATCTATCTATCTATCTGTCTATCTATCTATCTATCTGTCTATCTATCTATCTATCTACCTATCTATCTATCTATCTACCTATCTATCTATCTATCAATCTAATCTAATCTAATCTAATCTAATCTAATCTATCTATCTTTCTTTCTTTCTTTCTTTCTATCTATCTTATCTATCTATCTATCTATCTATCTATCTAATCTCTCTCTCTCTCTCTTTGTCTGTCTGTCTGTCTATCTGTCTATCTGTCTGTCTGTCTGTCTGTATCTATCTATCTATCTACCTATCTACCTATCTACCTATCTACCTATCTACCTATCTACCTATCTATCTATCTATCTTACTTATCTACCTACCTATCTATCTACCTACCTATCTATCTATCTATCTGTCTATCTATCTATCTACCTATCTATCTATCTATCTATCTATCTATTTATCTATCTATTGATCTATGCACCTATCTACTTTTGAATTCTATTGATCCACGATGACCCATTGGGATATATTGGGATCCATTGTTCCGCATCATTCTACACTTTCAGGTTCTGCTCAAGAATTCATGTTAAATCTTAAGCATCCTATGTAGATGCTCCATGTGCATTTGTCTTGTATATGTACAAATCGTGTGCATTGGCATTTGCCTTTCAGTACAATTTTATATGCAGGTTTCCCCAACAATTATCCTTGAACTGTCAACTGATAGGTCACTATGTTGGGATTTACCATGTGCATTTTTATTGTTTAACATGTTTCAGCTATAAATCAATCCAATGAAATCATAATGTTCCCCAAACCAATGGAAACAAAATCCGAGATAAATCAAATAATTTTACCCCTTTCTGGATCAAAAAAACTCAATTTCCCCCATGTATCTTGATTTCAAATCTCTAATTTTTGGGTAAAGTTAGGTCCCAAATTTGATGAAATCATGTAAAAAAAAAATCCGATCTGTTTCTGGGCCTAAAAAAAAGTAGCAATGGAAATCCGGTGAAATTCCATGAAATTCCCATACCATATGGGGCCCCATATCCTGTCTCATATTCCTTCAAATCGTCCCCATTTCTCCCGATCCGAGGCGCAATTGGAGTCCACAGAGAAGCAGCTCCGGCGACAGCTCAAGCAGCGCCGGAGGAAGCGCCGCGACTCGCGCGGCTCCGAGGACGGCACAGCGCCTGAGATGCAGATGGCCGGGAAATGGGTGATTTTCCAAGTGATGACTGGGAAAAACACCAGGGATTACCAGGGAGAATCGATGGACATGCCATTCAATGGCAAGTTTGGTGCCGAAATTGATGGATTCAATAGGGTTTACCCCAATTTCTTGTACGGTTTTTAAGAGGAGAAAAGGATGATAAACATTGGATTTCAGAAGGGTATACATACTTGTGAAAGGAAGTAGTGGTTCTTGCTGTGTTTATTTTGCCATGTTTTTCCCCCGGGAGTTGGTGATTCGCCACCAAAAACGGATGACTCAGATGACCAAACTCAACCGGGGGAATCGGAACATATCGGAACTACTCGAGGGACACTTTTGGCATCTTTTTGCCATTGCATCCAACAAGATTGCGTGTTTGAACATTTGAACATAATTTGAAACGACCAGAGGAAATCATGACAAAGAGGCTCCCTGTGATGGAGGTTGGGGGCCATGACTGAATCTCAATTAATGTTGGCTACTGATTAGTGTGAGGCCCCCCCTCAAACAATTTGAGTATACTGAAGAAGGAGCAGTTTTTGACGCCCCCCCTCAACAATTTTTAGGATAGTCAACTTAAGTAAGGATTTCAATTAAAATCAATTTACTTTCAATTAAAATCAATTTACTTTCAATTGATTTCAATTTACTTTCAATTTACTTTCAATTGATTTCAATTTACTTTCAATTGATTTTCAATTGATTTCAATTTACTTTCAATTTACTTTCAATTGATTTCAATTTACTTTCATTTGATTTCAATTTAGTGTCAACTAATTTTCAATTGATTTCAATTTACTTTCAATTGATTTTCAATTGCTTTCAATTTACTTTCAATTGATTTTCAGTTGATTTCAATTTACTTTCAATTGATTTTCAATTGATTTCAAGTTACGTAACTGATTTCAATTTGCTTTCAATTGATTTTCAACTGATTTTAATTTACCTACACTTGATTTTCAATTGATTTCAATTGACTTTTAGTTGATGTCAATTTACTTTTAATTGATTTCGATTTACTTTCAATTGATTTACAATTGATTTATTATTGATTTCAATTTACTTTCAATTGATTTCAATTTAGTGTCAACTAATTTTCAATTGATTTCAATTTACTTTCAATTGATTTTCAATTGATTTCAATTGACTTTCAAAATGATTTCCAATTGATTTCATTTGATTTTCGGTTTCCAATTGATTTCAATTGATTTCCAATTGATTTCAATTTATTTTCAATTGGTTTTTTCTTTTTTTTTGAACCTCAAAAGTTGGTGTGCAGAATAGGGTACTATCCAAACAAGTATATATATAATAATATAATTATATATATATATATTTGAGGATCTGAGCCACTCATGAGGTACCTCCTTGACAAATTGTTTGGATGCTGTTTTTAAATAAGAGTTTAATAAGGCATGTTATTATTTCGATATTCTTGCATTTCAAAGCTTTGACAGATATGGTTTTCTGAAGTAAAGGGACCAGCTTTACCCAAAGAAAGGTGGAGAACGGGTTTGTTTGTTTTTTTCAACCCCAAAAGTTGGTGTGCACAATAGAGTACCATCCAAACAATTATATTGTTGAGGATCTGAGCCACTCATGAGGTACCTCCTGGAAAAGTTGTCTGGATGCTGTTTTTTAATAAGGGTTTAATAAGGCATCTAATTATTTTGTTTTCTTGCATTTCAAAGCTTTGACATGGATATTGTTTTCTGAAGTAAAGGGACCAGCTTTACCCAAAGAAAGGTGGAAAAAGGGTTTGTTTGTTTTTTTCAACCCCCAAAGTTGGTGTGCACAATAGAGTACCATCCAAACAATTATATTATTGAGGATCTGAGCCACTCATGAGGTACCTCCTGGAAAAATTGTTTGGATGTTTTTTTTAAATCAGGGTGTAATAAGGCATAATTATTTGGAAAAAATGCAAAAATTGGATCTGCTAAAAAAAATGAAACAATGAACAACTAAAAAAACACTAAACAAATCTGGGAAAAAATGAAAAATGAAAAAATTGGAAAATATCTGGAAAAAAACTGGAAAAAAACAATTTTCACAATAGAGGCCCCCCCCACAATCACCAAGATACTGAATTAGGAAGCAAAAACTTTCCACAATAGGGTCCCATCACACTAATCGGGCGCCAACATTACTTGGATGAGATGCCAACAGCCTCAATCCACCGTCATGTGTTCACCCTGGCTCCCTGAAAGGATGCGGCTCATGCGGCATCCACAGACGGCCCAAAGGCAGATGGCACGTGTCTTGGATCGTTGCTGGGACGTGGCCGTTAGGGCTTGGGGGCCTGGGGGGATCAAAAAAGTAGGTAGGGAATGGTTGGGAAGTATTTTCATTTTCGAGAATGACTTCAATTTGCGGCCCCCTGGGCCCCTGGGCCTTGAATTTCTGAACCTAGATGAAAGGATGAAATGCAATGAATGTGAACAAAGTCAAAATCATGGTGTTATATCATGAATCTTCAATCATTTTCAGGCCGAAGGGGGTTGGGTTGCAAAACAATGATCTCTCCATGTCTACGTTTAACTTCAACTGCGTTTATGTTAAATAGACACTGCATTTTCAATGTTGTTTTGAACATTAAATGTGGCCATTAGAAAGCATTTGTACTTACACGTTTGTTTCTGTAAAATCACCTCACCATAAAACACACATGTAGTATAGTCATGTATGACAGCATTGCGGCTCAGGTAAAAAGTAGCTTGTGCGCCGCTAGCTTAACGGTATTTGTCCCTTTTAGGTTTATCAGTCCATTTGGGTATAACTAGGTTAACCCTTGCTGAAACCTGAAAATACAGGTTATCAGCCGTAGTCTCTTAAAGCCATGGAAAGGACAACTGGAGACACCTCCGGTGGAGGCGCCCTTGTCCCCTCGTCTGGAGCAACGGTTGCAACAACTGGATCACAACAAAGCTTGCCGGCTGGGACAAACCCCACGCCCATGTCAGTGGATGAAGGTTTCTTCACACAGCCCGTGCAAGCATATTTCCAGTTCGTGCAAAACAATCTTACCTACATCAACGAAGGTAACATTGATGCTTTCAGGCAAGAGGCGGAGGAGAGGCACACACATCTCATGGAGCAAAAGGTCCAGCAACTGTATCAAGAGTTTGAGGGAGTTTGCCTTAGCGAAATTGCCCATCAACGTGCAGAAGCTGATCGCAGACATGAACACCTAGTGTCAGAGTATTCAGTGTCCCAAACGGCAGCTGAGCATGAGGTAGCAAAACTGAGACAGGAACTTAGCGATGCAAACGCAAAGCTAAAGAATGCTGCAAATGCAGTTGCACTGGAAGCTGAACAAAGAGCCAACCAAAAGGTAGCACATATTACAGCCCAGTATGAACAAAGGTTTTCTGAACTCAGAGGTAGCCTCGAGGCAGACTGTAAACGAATCGTGGACGAAACAGTGGAGTATGCAAAGAACGGCATGGAAGGTTTCAAGAAGGAGGAACAAGCTGTAATCCAGGAGATTAGAGAGGAATGCAGTAGGCAGGAAAACCAAGCTGCTGAACTCAATTTCCAATTGCAGGGACAAGTGGAGGATTTGATGGAGAAGCTCAACAAGTACAGCGCCCCGGAAATCAGTGTCGACAGAGCCGTCGAAGTTGATGATGCACAAGGCGGGAATAATGTCGATTTGTACATGACCCCAAAATCAGCGGTCGGTACCAAGGCTGGAGCAGAACCCATGCCAAACACTGGTATGAGTAGCTTAGCCATGGACGCTAAGGAAAGGTTGAGCAACCTGTTCTCAACAACCCCTGCCGGATCAGCAGCCCCTCCAAAACTTCCACCATTGCCAGTTCAAAGACAAAATGATGATGATGCAAACCAAGATCATAGTGTGCCCAGTCCTACAGTCATAGCAAGCGACCCTGGCAAGAAAGCAGCTGAAGCAGGCTTAGGTCTTTCAGGTCAACAATTGCTAGATCTCACCACTAGACTGACTTCAAAGGATTCAGATGGTGAAAAGCCCCGAACAAAAGAGGCAGAGACTATCAAACTGAATGACATGCCTGCCCCAGAAGCTTATCGTCACTGGCGTAATCATGTCAGGGATGAAGTGAAATCGTGCTCCGACAAACCCGATGAGGCTTGGCTTTGGCTCAATGAAGTCTTTGACAACAAAACCCCTAGGGAAAAGTTGGAGGAAAAGCTGCAGGATCCTGGGAAGTTTATCACACTTGACACCAAACTGTCGGCAGCGTTAACTCGCTCAGCCAAAGGTGATTTAGCGACAAAGATCCATAACTTCAAAGATGAGAAGTCAAAGAATGGGATCCAAGTCAGAGGTAGGAGAGTCCTTTTGATGTTTGAAGATTACTTCAGGACGTCTGAGGAAGCTGGCAGTCTCTACCGCGTCGAGGACCTACTTGGAGTCGTTCGCACTGGAGAATCTGTGGAGGACCTTAGAAGGTTTCTTAACCGATGGGACGCCACAATTGCCGGCATGGAAACCCCACCAGATGATTTGGTTCTCAGAGACATCTTACTCAGACAAATCCGAAAATGTCAATTGATGAAGTATGACATTGAAGCATTTGACAGAGCTCCTGAAAAGTCAGAACAAAAGTCTTATGCATTCTTGTTGAGAAACATTCGTGATCTTTTGGATAGAGAAAGACTCCGTTCAAACAGAAACAGAATCGTTGAAAAGAACAAGCAGACCGAAAAGCCTCAGCCCGCTGCACCCGCTCAGGGGGGCAAAGATCGCGGCAAAGGAAAGGGCGACCGAGGTCGAACCCGTGGCCGTAGCCAGAGTGGAAAAGGGGACAAGATATGCTACAAATTCAGGGATGGCAAATGTGAAAAGGGTAAAGACTGTCCCTACAAGCATGTCAAAGATTCCTCAAGATCTGGTACCCCCAAAAGAAAGGGTAAGGGCAAAGGTGGTAGCAGAAGTGGTTCCCCCAACAGAAAGTCGAAGGAAGAGATGGCCAAGATCCCATGCACTTACTTCCAACAGGGCAAATGTCGTCGTGGTGACAAATGTTTTTACAAGCATGAAGTTGCAGCTGCACCCACAAAGGATCCAAAACGCACCAATAGCCCTGCACCAAAGAAGAAGGCCAGTGCAAAAGCTGCGCCATGCATTACTCAAAGGTATGCATGCATAGCAAAGGGAAAAGGGTTGCCAAAAGCTACAAAGGCCATGAAAGAACAATGCCATAGAGCCGTTGTGTTTTCATCAAAAGTGGAATACATCAAAGTCCCAGCAACAGGTGAACAGAGGAAGGTAGTGCACAAACCCCGAATCTATGAGAAGACGTTCCCTGATTCAGAGTCAGTGCCAAAACCCGACAAACTCGTGGCTCACCGTGCTCAGGTTTCGGCCCGGCAGTTGCAGGAACTTGTGAAGCTCTTCGGCAGTGAGACGCAGCCCAAGTGCCGATTCCGATGCAACGACCCAGAAGGGGGAGTATCATGCAACCACTGTAGAGCAATGATTGGTCCCAAGAACAAAGTCAGTAACACTCATTTGCCCACTGTTGCTACACCTGCATCAAAAGATGGATGTGTTTGGCTGGTTGACACGGGCAGTGAACAGGATTTGATCAGTGAGGGTATGCTGAAGACCGCAAAGGCGACAAACCGCCGTATCAGCGATACTCCGATCAGCCTTGCTACAGCAAACGGTTCGACACGAGCGGATGAGGTGGCCGACGTAAAAGTCGATGCCCTACATCAGCCATTTTCACCATACATTCTCGAGGAAACTCCTGCTGTTCTTTCGGTTGGGGTCAGGTGTATGGAACAGGGTTACAGTTTTGTGTGGCCAGCTGATGGTAGGCCTTACTTCATTCGTCCGGACATGGGAGTCATTGAGCTTAACGTAGACGGCCGTGTGCCGGTCATCGATAGCTCTTGTCGTGTTTTGAACAGTGGACAGTTCAAGAAAGATTGTGATCTGTTACGTCTTTTTGCAATGGTTGCTGCAAAAGCAGAAGGTGCCGATGAAGAAGGCGTGGATGAGGGAGTAGCTCATGATAGCGAAACCGAATACGTCAGGTCTAGAAAGGCATCTGACCTTGAGCAAGAGGCATGCAGTAAGTCTCACCAGTTTTGCCATTACCCCAAGAATCCATTTTGCAAGATCTGTCAGAAGGCGCGCATGATGGCGCCACCCGCAAAGAAGAAAGGGGGACAGAAAAGGTTGGAAACCAAAAGTTTTGGGGATCACATTGTCGCTGACCATACTGTAATCAAATCCAATGTGGAAGAAGGCGTCAAAGGTGAAACAGTGGCATTGGTGATGAAGGACATTCACACTCAGTTCAGACACGTCTATCCAAGTCAGACAAAATCGAGTGAATCATGTGTTAATGCTTTCAACCACTTCTTATCTCACAAGGATGAAGTTGGGGCAGTTTACACTGACAATTCACGAGAGCTTATTGCTACAATTTCAGAGTTGGGGTACAGACATCAAACATCAACAGAGTATGTGGACAGTTCAAAGTCGTTTGTGGAGAGGGAGATCAGGCACATGCTTGAAGGCACACGCACAAACCTTGTGCAGTCAGGTCTTCCATTGCAGTATTGGCCAATGGCTATGCAGCATTTCTCCATGGCAGTGAATGCCACGCCACAGCTCAACGGTGATGATGCCCCATGGAAACTCAGATTCGAAGAAGATTTTCCAGGTCAGTTGATTCCTTTCGGTGCAAAGATACTGTTTTGGAACAATCCAAAAAGGGTTGACAACACATCTGGAAAGACATCACCAACAGCAAATGATGGAATCTTTTTGGGATACCACATTCAACCTGGTTTTGCATGGAAGGGTGAGTATCTTGTTGCCAAGTTAGAAGCATTGGATTACCATGCAGAAATGGGCAGCATCACAGTGCAGCGAGCACGACGTGTTGAGCTCATCGCGGGAGGTTTTGTCTTCCCACTCCGTGCACTGAAAGAGGCCAAAGAGCCCAAGCCGGACCGCCTAGTCGACAACGTCATTGCTGATCCTCGTCCGATTCCGTTTCAATCCGAATTGCAAACAGAGGAACATGTAGAAGAAAGTGAAGCAGCAATTGACAAGTCAACGGAGGCAGTGCTTGACGCACTTGCCAGTGATGAAAGGCCGGCTGAAGAACCAGTTTTTCCTGATATCAAGTGCACTCCAACTGGTACTCCAATCCCGGATGGTTATCATTGGGACGGCACACGCCTTGTGAAAACGTACAAAGGGTCAAAACGCCCTGAGTCGATCCCATCGGATTTTTGGAAAATGCTTAGTCC